TTGACATTGAGACGTTTTCACATGCATTTCTAATCTCTATATACATGACTATTACTAGTCACAGTTGGTTACTTTCTGAGCTTCTAGGCATCTGAGCATGAATATAAAGTCATCAGGTAGATTTCAATGGTAATGTTTTTCACATCTACTAATTATTGTTTTTTAATCATTATTACATTTTAATGCTTAAACTGAAATGAACAAAATGAAGGCAGACATGGTGGCTCATACCCACAATCCCAGCAAGAGAGAGACTGAGGTAGAAAAATTGCTGAGAGTTTGTGGCCAGCCTGGGATATATAGTGAATTCCAGGTCATCCTGGGCCACTGAAAAATAAAAATACCAAACTAAACTATGAATAAAATGCTATCATTATAAGAACAGAGATTTGGTTTTTCTACCTGTTCTTGAGTCCGATTTTTCCAGTACAACCATCTCTTTTTCCAGTCTGGCCCTATCATGTTTTCAATAGCATTTTCGGCTAGAAAAAAAACAAAACAAAACATTTTAATTAATCCATTAAGAATTTTATAATTTACCAAGAAAAGAAATTTTAACAATGGTTATACTTTCTTAACTATTTTCTAAGGTTGTATTAATATGAAATCAGTTAAAAGAACAATTATATGATTAATATGGAACATGTATAACAATTATACATGCGTTTAAATCTATGAAAAGCACAACTGTTTATAGAACTCCCATAAGTATAGCAGCAAACACAAATAGCCTGAACTACAGCCTTTTGGAATAGGAGTACATGTAAGTATCATGTGTCCAATTTGTTTATTCTTTACTAGTCATAAAGCTACAGGTTGAAAAATCCCATGAATAAATATTCTACTGCATTCATGACAAGACCTTGAAATGTTAATTATATATTCAAAACATTTATTATTTGTGCACATGATGTGCATGTGAGTGCAGGAGCACACGTGCCACGGTGCGAGTATGGAGGACAACTTCTGGGAGTCTTTTTCTCCTACTGGGTGGGTTCCAGGGATGGAACTCAGGTTGTCAGGCTTGTGCTGCAAATGTTTTCCCCTTGAGCTATTTTGATGGATCATTAATTATATTTTTCCAATGTTCAGAAATCAAGAGCTTGTGTTCCTACTTACTATCTTTGAGACGAGCCTGAAGTGCCTCTTCCATAAAATAAATAGCTGCATCCCACTGCTGCTTATCAGATATGGATCGGTCTTCCAAAGCATTGTGCTGAATAACCCTCTGAAATGGTTAGGACAGAAAAAACTGATTCAACCTAGGTCTCTTCATTTCAGTAATTTTGTTTAAACTGACAGCTTAAACATCATGGCTAGAACCTAACATCCAGAGAATACTTATAACATACTGCAGTTTCTTTTCTCTTGCCATAAGAACTATACAGTAGCATTTTCAAAACAGGACAGAAGAAATTATTAAGCACCATCTCACTGCTACAGCAAAAAATAGTAACAGGGCAAAGGTTCAGACAACTAGCCAATCATAAGCATTAGCTATTCTTTTTTCAACTGAAAACTGGTTTCCAACTTTTTAAAACTTTGGGTGAATGAATGAGATTAGTGCCCTTTTAGAAAACCAACCTTTAAGGGATTTAAAGAATAACTACAGTTTTCAAACATGAAGATAATATTTCTTCAAAATGAAATTATAATTACAAACATTTCTTAGTAAGACACATACTTTTCTAGAGAACTGCTCAATCTTTTCATTTAGTATTACCTCTTATGACTTTCTAGCAGAGGTGGTATAAAGGTTTGATTATGGTAGTAGGAGCATGCTACATAATTAAGATATATCAAGTGGTCAGGAGTGAGGCCTTGTAGTCCGATCAGGTGCAAAGGCAGCTCTGCCAATGAGGATACAGGACCGTGGTTGTTGTGACATGAACTGTCCCACCAAAAGGCTTGGCCCCTTGATGTTGGCACTCTAGAAAGGTGATTGGATCATGAGGGTGCAAACTTCATCAATGGGTGAAACCACTGATAAGTCGATCTGAATGGAGCATAAGAAGGTGGGGCCTGGGTAGAGAAAGTGGTCATTTTGAAGGTTGTACTTTGTTTCTGATCTCTTCCTTTCTCTCCGCATCTTGGCTGTTTTGAACTGAGCAGCTCTCCTCCACCATTCCTTACCATCATGATGGTTTTGCCTTACCATAGGCCTAAAGCACTGGATCAACCAACCCTCAGACTGAAACCTCTGGAACTATGAGCCTAAGTAAGTCTTTCTTTTTTTATCTCATAGTTACTTAAGAATTGAATCAAGCTCTGGGCCTGATGGGCCAGGTCCATATCCCAGCTATTCAGGAGACTGAGGCAGGAGGACTGAAAGTTCAGGGCTGGCTTCAGCTACAGAGTAAGTTCAAGGTCAGCTTGGACAACTTGGTGAGACCTTATTTTGAAAAACTAAAAAAAGAAGCAAGAAGAGAGCTGGGGATACAGCTAGGTGATTGAGTCTTGCCTAGTATATATGTTCAGTTTCCGAAAAAAAAAAATCAGTCAAATGATACTTGTAAAAACAGAGTTGTTGCTGGAACATGAGAGACATCAGTGTATGGTACTAGGTTTTTAGACCCAGGATATCTACAGACAAGCGCATGAAACAGTTAATGGATGGTAATTTTTGGGAACATGTGAAATTACTTTTCTGAAATGGCAGTCAAGAAAGAAAGAGCAAAGGGCTATTTTAGAAGGGCCAGAGGAGTGTTAAAGGGCAGATTAAAAATCATAACTCTATTATTTTACAATGTTATTTTAAAAGAATGTAATTTACATGGTCATGGGAAAATCCTATGAAAGAGTATCAGTTTGGGAAACCCTACAAAAATGAAATCTGATATCCTAATTAGGAAAGTGACATACCAAGCTATCTTCTGCAAAGTCATTCCACTTGTGGCGCTTGATACTTTCTTCCTTAACAGCCTCTTTAAGTTTGTCAAATATGTCATCATGCTCCTTTCCTTTGGGTTCGGTCATGAAGCGGGAAAATTCTTCTTGTAGTGTCTCCCACGCAACCTAGATTTAAAAGAAAGCAAGCTGTATTTATCCTAATACTTTTATTTAATACAGATGAAAAAATAACAATAATTCATGTTATCAGATGTATTACACCAATGTATCAAGAAATGCATTATTCATTAATGAATGCATATACATGAATAAAAAAGCAGCAATTATAAGGTCTTGTTGAGATTTTACACTCTGCTAGACAAGCAGTGCTTTTTAAACTTATTATTATTATTTTTTAACTTTTACAAAAACTTTATTGAGAATTTCATACATGTATATAAGGTGTTTTGATCAAATCCATAAATCCATGTCCACTCCCTCCCCTCCAACATTCCCCCCTTTGAAGAGGTAACCCTAATTATTTATTATTTATTTTATGTGTATGATGTATTGCCTGCATGTAAGTAAGTGCACCTGTGTCATTCAGTGTCCACAGAGGACCGAAGAGGCTGCCAGATCCCCTGGAACTGGTGTTATGGACAGTTGTTAGCTGCCATGTGGATGCTGGGATTCGAACCTTGTCTTCTGTAAGAACAGTCAGTGTTCTTAACCGCACCATCTCTCTAGTCCCAATAAGCAGTGTTTTAAACTTAAAGCTTTTAATGGCCTCTTATACATATCTGCAACTCCAGCTCTTGAGAATAATCTGGAAATAATAAAGTCATATTCCCACAGGACCCCACTTGCTGGGCTGACCAGAGTTGTCTTCTTTCCATGAGGCCTGCATTCCAGGTCTGCCACCACCTTAGCTCACTAACTTATTTCAACCAGTAAGACATTTCAGCTTGCCTGTCTTTTGTATGCCATACAGAGTTTAAGATTTCTTAGTCATTGAGCCAATCATCTTTACATTTTTGCCTTTAAGCAAAGATGCATCAATACCTTCAAATAGTGCTAAGCATTATTCAGCTTTGTGGTACAGCTAACTTTTAACTATCTCAACTGTGAAAGAGCACAGGGTCAAAAGTAACTAAAGAACTAAGTCTATACACACAGTTGGTAGTTGAGGCTTTTTTGATTGTTCTACATAGCCTAGGCTGGCAGTGAACTTGGGGCAATGTCCTGCCTCAACCTCTGGGGTGCTAGGCATGTACTACCATGCCCTGCATGGGGTGGGTGTGAACCTATAGCTTCCTACTCTAATCAGGACCACATCCTTTCTTCCGACTCTGAATACTCAGGGCGGAAAGTGGAAAGAGGATCCTGGCAGTGCTGACCATCCTCACTGCCACTGCCGTGGGACCATCCCATCATGGCACACCCCAAGAACACTGTCTGGGCCAGGCGTGAGGGGCACTAGCAAAGAAGTGGCAGCGGCTCTCCAGTTGTTTTCATGGACAGCAGGACAAGCAAGAAATGAGAGGTTCAGCAACATGTAACTTAGGCAGAGGCTGCAAAAGCTGCTACAAATAGAGGCTGAGGAAACAGAACAGTGGGGGAAGAAGCCAGTGCTGGAGGAGGACAGAAAAGAACGCTCGGACTGAGTGAGTAGAAATGGACACTTTGGTTCCAATTCAGGTATGAAAAGCAAAATCACTTTTAGTGTTGACCCCCTTTTTTTATTTTTTTGGTCTTTTTGAGACAGGGTCTCCCTGTAGGCCCAGCTGTCCTGGAACTCACTATGTAGACCAGGCTGGCCTTGAACTCAGAGATCTACCTGCCTCTGCCTCCCGAGTGCTGGGATTAAAGGCGTGTGCCACCATGCCCAGCAACCCCAATTTTTAAACACAACCTTACAAAGCCTAGGACACATTGACTCTTAGCTAGAGTAAAGGGATCGGACAAATGAGTTTTGGATAATGATGATCCTAAGAATAGTGGCTGCATTTCCCAAGTAGTTATCATGGGCCAGGAGTCTCCTAAGTTTTTTTCCGTATCTTAACTTATTTAATCCTTACAATATCCTTGGGAGCTGGGCAATATTATCATCTCAACTTTTCAGATGAAGAAACAGGAAGGTCAAGCAAATTGACTAATCATCACAGTTTTTAGATGGTAGGGCCAAGATACTGGAAATGGATGCTTTTTTTCTTTCTTGTTTTTTCTTTTTCTTATAAATTTATTATTGTTATTATCATCATCATCATTATTATTATTAACATCAGTTTGGTCTTTTTGAGATTGGGTCTCCCTGTAGCCACAGCTAGCCTGGAACTCACAGAGACGAGCCTGTATCTGCCTCCCAAGGGCTGGGATTAAGGGCAGTGCCACCACGTCATCCTTTCCCCATTAAAAAAAAAAAAAAATTCCTAGTCTAATTCAGGAGGATCCTAACCCAAACAATGCTTGTTTAAGTGCAACTGAATTCTGTAGAAAATTTAAAAATGAAAATGTCTGGTTCATTAAAGACGTGCCTTATAGAATCCCAATCCACAGAAGTTCAAAATATTGCAATGTCAATGAAATTTGTCTGGTTTTATTAAATGTTGTCTTAGGAAGGAGAACCAAGGCCTTTGGGCAACTTGATTAATAAACTTTTATACTATCAACTAATAGTAGTATTAAAGTTCATTCCAACACAGATAAAGAACAGAGCTCAAATAAAATATAAAGGCCCCAAAGAAAGATAGTGCGATGGGAACAGAGTCTAAAATCTCAGGACCTAGTCTCTTCAGATAGTGCTCCTTACCCATTTAATTAAATTATATCCTAACCTCTACTGCTTTATTAGGAAGCTGTTTGTCAGTCCACTGTTTAAGCTTGATATCCACTGTAGTATTAAATGTTCCCGAATTCATGGTTTGTGCAGCTGGAAGGTAGATGTTTTCAATCACGTGAGTTGATACTCTTTCCCACAAAGATTGTTGAAGGATTTCCTCCCTGTAATTGAAAAGTTTCAAGAAAGCCCAGTTTATATATGGTATTTTTAAAAAATAGCTTGAAATATCATTAACTATAATAATAAACTACACATATTTAAAGATTTGATAAAATTTGGCATATGTGAATCTGTGAATCACAGTAATCAAGATAAATATCTCCCACTGGAGTTGTAACCACTCTCTTCGCTATTATGATTTACTTGTATTTTCGAGAACTTTCCATGAATGGAATCACGTAGCATGCGCTCTTTTTCGTCTACTTTCACTCCTCTGTGATGTGTGTGTATTACTATTTCACTTCTTTTTACTGCTGAGCACTGTCTACTGCATAGATTGATTCACCCATCTACCTGTTGATGGTCATGTGCTAATTGTGGGCTATGACAAAGAAAGCTGCTGTGGGCATTCATTTGCATATCTCTGTGAGGATATATGCTTTTATTCTTGACTACATATCTAAGGGTGGAATGGCTGGATCAGATGGCAGTTGCTTAACTTCTTAAGACATTGCTCTTTTCCAAAATAACTGCATCATTTTACATTTCTACTAGCAGAGGGGAGTCCTAGAAACCCTATCCCCTTGTCAACACTTGGTAGACCTTGTCTCAACTTTGGAGTTTTTTAGTGGGATGTAGAGTTTTTACAGTGGGCTCTCATTGTGGTTTGCATTTCCCTAATGAATAATAATTCTAAGCATCTTTTCATGTGCGTGTTTGCTTAGTACTAAACATGCTTTGTATGTGTTTACCATGGAGTCCAAGACTGAAATTTTGATATAATTTTCATAATACTATATCACAAAGCATAGATTATTATAGGATATCATAATAAAATATTTTAACACTTCATGACCAAGATGGTAGCATAAAGACATATAAAAATCTGTTTTATAAGATGTCTTTTAAGAATAAGATCTCTATAGGAGAAAAAAAGGCAAATATTCCCACTATGAACATATTTAAATTCTCAAGAAATTATTTATTTGGCTTCTTCTGAACTAAATTCTACTATAAACCAAATGAAGCCAAAAAGCAACAAGAAACAAAATCCACACAAATCTACACTGCTCATCATATGGTTGATCATGGGTATAACCACAACCCAGAGTAAAGAGTAGAAACATCCCTGCTGTCAAAAGCCAAGTGCCACTTTCCATCATTTCCCTGGCAAGGTGACAAGCTGCACTCTGCCCAAGACTAAGCCATTGTTCTAGGCTGCTGGTCTCACTAACCTGAAGGCCTTTGTTTAGTTATAAGCAGGAGAGGAAAGATTATGAGGCGATGACAGATTGCCTAATGGCAGAAAAAGAATTTCAGGAGCAAGGTGGAAGAAAAAGAAGGGCCTCTTACTCAGATACCATTTTAAACACAAACTTAAAAAGATTTCTAAAAAAGAAAAGGAAGACCAGGATGTAGTCTCTGACTACCAAGGCATTTTCTATGCCCTTAAGAACAGACTCAGTGTTATTTTTTTTTCTTAGAGTATGAGGCCAGGAATCTTATGCCAAACATTTTTATTTTTATTTTTTTTTTAGTCTTTTTGAGACAGAGTCTTCCTGTAGTCCCAGCTGTCCTGGAACTCACTATATAGACCAGGCTGGCCTTGAAAGCACAGAGATCTGCCCTGCCTCTGCCTCCCAAGTGCTGGAATTAAAGGTGTGTGCCACCAAGCCCAGCCAACATTTTTATTTCTTAAAAAAAAAAGACGGGGTCTCCCTGTAGCCCCAGCTGTCCTGGAACTCTTGATGTAGACCAGGTCAGCCTCGATCTCACAGAGATCCACCTGCCTCTGCCTCCCAAGTGTTGGGATTCAAGTTGTACACCACCAGCTGGAAGCCAAGCACACTTTTAAGGAAACGGTAACAAAATGCTATCAAATCCCGACCAGCCTGATGCTTTCCAAGCACCCATCTTAAAATGTCACATACTGGCCGGGTATAGTGGTGCATGCCTTTAATCCCAGCACTCAGGTGGCAGAGGCAGGCGGATCTCTGTGGTGAGTTCGAGGCCAGCCTGGTTAAAAAAAAAAAAAAAAAAAAAAAAAAAAAAAAAAAGTCACATAGTGGCATTATGCAAAAGATACCAATAAAAACTCCTAAGGTATTTCCAACTACATTACTAAAATATCTTAGGTCTAATGTAGTTAAATCATTGCAGCATGAACAGTATGAAGAGTTAAGGAGGACTGGCTATTCTGATCTTTTTTTTGAAACAGGATTTCCTTTCCTGTAGCCCTAGCTGGCCTGGAACTCACTATGTAGAGTAGGCCAGCCTAGAATTCAGAGATCCACCTGCCCTCTGCCTCCCAAGTGCTGGGAGTACAGGTGTGCGCCACCACGCTGGGCTCTATTCTGATCTTTGTAACAAACCCTACAGTCTGAAATCAGAAAGCTAATGAAAAAATGATAGAGATCATGTGATCAGACAGCTAATAATTCTCTGGCCGGCAGATGTTCTAGTTCTCAGCTGTGTCTTTTCCATGAGTGATCTCATGGTACTTCTTTCTTGTCCTTTTACAATTCTGTTTAGTCTCCTATGTACTAAATAAAGTTACCTTTTACACTTATTCCAGTGTGGGTATAATATATTTTAGAGTTGCTCTGCCTAAGAAAATTTACTTTATTCTCATTTTGTGACAATAGAAATTTGCAGAAGCATTGTATTTTTCTCTTACCATAAATAGCAAATATTTGCCAGTTTTAATCTCTCCTTGTACAAAAAAGATCTGGTTTTATTTATGCTGTTGGTTGACTAATCACATACATATGACACAAACTATTATGTTTCTTATTTCAGTTCAGTGACTTTGTGTAACTCAGCTTTTTAAGTTTAAAGAACAATATAGATATGTAGATATATACATAAAGTAAAATTGAAATACAAGTATATATAATCAATACAATGCTAGTTGCTTTCTTAGGTTATATGAGGGTAACATACATAAAAATTATTTATAAATCATAACTAATGGACTGAGGATGCAGCTTAGTAGTAGAGTACTTGCTTAGCAAGTTAAGGCCGTGGGTTCCATCCCTTCTCCCTTCCCCCAAAAAGGAAAGGAAAAAATAAGCACCTATAAATAATCCCACTGAGGAAGAAATGCACTGAGATTGGGAAAGTAGTGAGAAGAAATTAAAACTTAAGGACTAGATGCTGGTGTCTTGACTTAGTGGTGACAGTCTGTGACTCACCAAACAGAAGAAATACTGAAAACATTTAACATGAATAATGGTAAGAATAGTTCTGTTCCAAGAATGATAGATTCTTAAAAATACCACCAATTTATTAGCAGGTAATTTAGGCATGAGGAATTTGTTACTTAAAATATAAATACAGATCTCCAGACTATTTACATCCAGCTTGCTTGAGCTACATGTGGTCTTTATTCAATTTGTTATGAGATCACACTACACAGCATGGGCTGGCTTGGAATTTGTGATCCTCCTGCTTCCACCTCCTGCATGCTGGGATTCCAAGTGTGTGCCACCATTCCTGGTTTAGTTTATTTTTTTTATAATGCTCCATTCTAATTCCAATAAATTTAAGAATGCCCATATTAATATAAATATAAATCATAGATGATAGCTTGCCTTAAGAGATTCACAAGACAAATTTTCAAAAAGGATGAATTTACTATTTAATACCGAATCACAAGAGCGAATTAATGAAAAATGTTGTGTCCAACATAGTCAGTAATGATACAGAAAGCATCAATTACTCTTACTCTGAAGTGAGAGTTTGAAAATACCTATTCTTCCTTTACCAATTAATTTGATCATAATGTGGCTCTAATTAATAATAACCAGTCCTGGTAGGTAATTTGCTATTACCTAAAACAGAACTTTATGAAACTTAAGCTTAAACGTTTTATAGAAATCAAAGTCTGTATTGATTGAGCATAAAGCCAAGAAGAGCCAAAGATAGATCCAGACTAAAAAGGACCCCAGAGTAAGCTACTGTCCAAAGATTCAATTGATGAGACTACACCTGCAGTTATTTTTAAGGAGACATGCTTTATTCTTTCCCTACTTCCTTTGGAGGGATGAACTAGGTTACAATAAATTGATGCTTCCTCATAAGTCATAGACTAAAAGACGTCGAAAAAAGGGACTAATACTTACCAGTGTTTTGGTGTGACCTGGCTCAGACTGATAACTTCATCGAGGATCTCATTTTTAGCTTTTTCGAATAGTTCATTCTAGGCAACACAGACACAAGTTAAGATTTTCATAGGACAGTAAATTTGCCCTATCATGCTCTTCAGATAACCAAACAGACATAGAGTAGTAGACTGAGTTTCAGTTTGAAAAGAGAAGACCAGCAAAAATGAACTTTCATTCTCCTTTTAGGAATATCATTATCCAGATAAGGATGAAGAAGCTGGTATAGCCAGATGTCCACCTGACTCATTTCTGGATGCAGTTTTCCACCTAACATTTATTCATATAACATTTCCACATAGAAAATGTTAAAGTGCCAACACACACGGTTTAGTGCATCAGTAATTCTTAAGTTAATATTGGGTTTTATAACTAAAGCTATTTTAAAATCAAAGAAAACAATATTTAATTTTTCACTAAATTAGATTATACATCGCCAGTGTAAATACTGAGAATATAAAAACTGGATATATAGCTAAAATGAATTTGGATTACATAAATATACTAATTCCTTAAGACTATTAAAGAACATTCTTTATTTTGTCAGATACATTTAAACACTTGATTCTGTATCTTGAGTGATTCCTACTTTTAAATGTTATAAACTAAAAATTTTAAATTATTCTAGAAGATATAATTACTCCCAAGTAGTTATGTTAAAAACAGGAGTTTAGCTTGCCAGATTTCTCTCATCAACAACAACTTTGTTAGAATACATTAAATTAAAATATATGTAAGATTTATGTGTGGGGGGCTGGAGAGATGGCTCAGCAGTTAAAAGCATACTGGCTGCTCTTGCAGAGGACCTGAGCACCCACATGGTGGCTAACAAATGTCTGTAACTCCAGTTCCAGAGGATCTGACACCTTTTTCTGACCTCTGTGGGCACTGAATGACATGGGTGCACCTACCTACATGCAGGCAATACACTTATACACATTAAAAAAAAGATATGCAGGATACCAACTATTACCCGGTCAAGTTCTCGTAGGCGAGGGTAGTTATTCTTCCACTCCGTTTCAAGGTTAAAACGTGTTGCTGAGGAAAAAGGAAAATGTTTACTCTCGATGGCGCTTTCTTCCCAGATGTTGTAGTAAAAGGCTATTATGCATATCTTCTATTGAGAGTGTGTCTGTGGTGCCTTAATACTCTGAAATCTATTATTATAACAGCTTTGTAAGCTATTCTCCTTGATTCTAGCTTCTTCACTTTCATTTCACAGATCCACAGCTGTAGCAGTTGAGTTCAACAGCTAAGAGAATGCCAGCTGGGGCCATACCACATTCTAGGTCTAACGTCTAACTACTATGTGACATTGGTTGTGCCAGTTACTCGGCACCTTTGTTTTCTCTTCTGTAAAATGGGAATAAAAAGAATACTTAAAGGCATGCACTAGCAAGCCCAGCTCCCTTAGATATTTTCTTAAAGCATATAGCTTCAAAACAGATAAAAAATAATAAATGGCTTATACTTATTAAAAAAAAAAAAAAAAAAAAAGGAATACTTCCAAGGCTGTTGCAGTCCTAAGGGGGATAAATGGTAAGCAAAATTTCCAAATGGCAAGGGGAAGGAGAATACATTCTCCCTGTTTGAAATTATGGAAGCAAAGACCTGGGGCAGGAAGTGTGGGGTTGGGAGAACAGTATGAGGCAGCTAAAGCACAAGGTGCTCTGCTTTCCAGGTGGGCTCTCTTCTGCATATGAAAGAGGAGCCCACACTCTCTGTAGTTAAGCTCTCTCAAACACTACCACACACTGGCTACTTCTAACAACTCTGTAATGGTACCCCTGAAAGGGCAATAGAAGGTTTGCATTTTCCCACTGTCCATGCATTATCTAACAGTAAATCAGCTACTAGGTCACTGAGAAAAGGAGTAAAAAAGCCGATGAATGCTAAAGGCTGTCAACTAATATAACACCTGAATGTGCACACTCATTTTAATAAGCCAACATACCTTTGAAGCTATCAGCCTGTTGTTCAACTGACTCTCGAACCATTTTCCAAAAGCAGTCAGATACAGCAAGGCTTAAATTTCTTGTAGTTACTTGATGTGCCTTCAGCATACTTGTCCTACAAAAAAACAGGGGTAAAATGTATTAAAATTACAGAAGAGCAATAAGAATACTAGCAAGTATGAGAATGTACAATCAGAACAGCCACTCATACCCACATACTGTCTAGCGAAACTTTCTGCAATGAAGAAAATGGTCCATATCTAAGCTGTCCAATAAAGTAAACACTAGTCACATGGACTACTGAGCTCTTGAAGTATGTGGCCAGTGAGACTGAGCTGAGGAGATGAAATTTACCTGCTGGAATTCAAACTAGTTCAGGAGTATATATGACTAGTGAGTACCACAGTGGACAGCACAGTGCTTGTCAGTTCCTTCCCAAGAAAAAGAAATTTCTCTAGCTATGTTTGCAAAAATTATCTTTACTTACAAACTAAAGGCAAACATGCTTTTCTATTTTTAGAAACTCTCTCAATATAAAGCTTTAGTATAATTCAAATGCCATAATTTAGTTCTTCATTTTGCCTTGTGGTTTAGTATCTTATTTTCTGTCAATATCTATTTAGGAATATCTCTTTGCTATCTCCCCTTCCAACTTTCTCTAAAATTGTTAGAGAAATGTTCCCACATATTTAAAAAAGAAAATATCAATTAAAAAAAAGTATCACATTCTAGGCAAAACAACTTAAGAGGTGTGAGAGTTATCACTCAGTGTCCATGGCCAGAGGCAGTGTGCCTTTCCAGTTATCTGCAGTACCATGTGATAAAGGGCTCTCAAGGACAGCCTTCCTTAGATTCAGACCACTGTGTGGGAAGATAGCTAGCAATAAGCTAATAGTTACAAAGCTATGTTCTCATCGTAAAGTTAAGTATCTTAATGTGACACCTACTTTAGGAGTTTGGAATTCTGAAAAAATTCTTCTTCATATTCTCTTATTGCTTCAATGCTTTCAGAGCTGTTTCCTAGGAAAGATGGTGACCACATTTTCACCAAGAAAATTAATCTTTGTCATCTGAAAACAACAAAAACTAAAACAAAGTTATAACGATCCAGTTTTGCATACCTTTTCCTGTTACAACAGCAAAATAACCCAGAGCTTTCATTGGAAAGAGCTTTCCTTCAATTATCTGTTGAATCTGTTTTAATAAGTTGGAAAAAATAAGTGTGAAATATGAACTCAGCTTTTAAAATCATAATATACAATTGAGAAGGCAAAATAATTAAAAATGCTGTATATATTTATCAAAATTAGACAAATCTGTCTTATTATTTGAGGGAAATACATTTAATTTTACTATATTGAAAATGTATTAAAATGTATATGCCAAAATTAAAACTTGAAATGATATTTGTGAGTCAGACCTTGGTTAGAATTCTTGCTCTGCCATTTACTAGCAATGTGGGTTTAAGTAAATAAATTTAATTTTTTAAAAAAGGGTTGCTGAGACTGTAAGATAGTCAAATTTAATTAGCACAGTACAGGGCACAGAGACGTACCCAATACACAGCTTTATTATTACTTCCTCATAGTTTCTTTCAAAATCTAAATTCTTTAACTATTATTTTTAATTTTTTTTCTTTTTAGTTTTATTATTTTTATTTTATGAGTGTATTTCCTTCATGTAGGTAGGTGCACCTGTGTTGTACAATGCCCGAGGAGGTCAGAAGAGGGTGTTGGATCCCCTGGAACTGGAGTTATGGACGATTGTTAGCCGCCATGTGGGTGCTGGGAATCAAATTCCAATCCTCTGCTAGAGCAGTCAGTGTTTTTACCTGCTGAGCCATCGCTCCAGCCCTTTTTTAAAAAAATTTAAAATCCCGTTTATTTATTTGGGTGTAGGCACGTATGTGGAGGTCAGAGGACAGCTCATGGTAATCACTTCTCTCCTTCTACTATTTATCGTTGTCAGGCTTGGTCACAAGTACCCTTGCCTGCTGGGTCATCTTGTTGGCTCTGAATCTGTAAATCCTAACCATGCTGCGCTGTCTTCTTTTACTCCTTTCTTTCTTCTATGGGAAGCCCCTTTTTAGAAAACTATTTGGACCCACTGAGTTTTCCACTCTTCTAAGGAGAAAAATCCTTCTCTAGAGTGTGATTAAAAATTGGACTCTGAACCCAGAAAAATGCTTATTTGCATTGATCTATTCACACACAAATATTTCCACCTCTGGCGGCCTATTCAGATTAATGCTGGGAGAAGAATCCTCCTCCAAGACAAGTCAAATCTGGGCTAAAGCTGAATCTCTACCGTAGAAAGGACTGAAGTCAGCTTCAATTGCATCTCAGGTGAAATTCAAAGTGACTATCCCAGAGAGGAAAGGCGAAATGGAGGTCACACAGATATGTTTCTACCTCACACCTGTTCTTCACTTCTGGAGACTTGAGTAGGCTGCCTCTAGACTCACCTGCACCTTCACTTTGTGATTTCGCTTGAACCCTTCACTAGAACGGTATCTGGTCTGACTATGTGGTGAGTCCTGCAAGTCCTGCGAGTCACTGCACCTGGAGCTGGAGTGTCTGGGAGCCCCTGACACAGGGGCAGTCTCAGAATGTTTAAGGTGGGAAAGAGAGACATTCTATGCAGTAGTGGTGGGGATGGCTACTTGAAGTCACTGTTCTACAGGAAATGATACAATATCAATTTATCATTCATAAACATGCCAGTCACTATGTATGTAACACTTTGGGCCCAAGATTCATTCCAACTTCTTTGTGTCATTTATTTGACTCAATAATTCATCACAACCAAGGAGAAATCTATATAATTATCTTCATTCCCACCAGATGAGGAAGCCTAAAGCATAGAAAAGTTAAATAACTTACCCCAAGATCACATAGCTAGCAAATGGTAGTGCCAGGATTTGAAACAACACAAATCCTCCTTACTCTCAACTACCCCCTGTACCTTTACAGTTAGGAGGAGAAGTCAGTCAGGTCTGCATCCAAATAAGACATGTTCTCAGGGCTAAAGAAATAGCTTAGTTGGTAAACTGTTTGCTTTGCAAGCACAAAGACCTGAGTTAGATCCCAGAATTCATGGACAAACACACAAAACAACCGGCCCCCATCCCAAATCAAACAAACAAAAAAGGGGGGAAAGGGGAGGGCAGGAAGGAGGGCTTACAAAGAACTATGGGAATAAAGGGGGAAAAAATTCTCCAGATAAACCCTATGGGGATGGAAGAAAGCCCTTCCAGAAGCAATATGGTTGTTAAATGTGTGGGGGCATTTTTAAAAAGATTAATTTTATTACTGATTTGTGTCTGTGAATGTGTGTGCAGGAAACTGTGGATACCAGAGAGCCTTAGCACCCAGAGCTGGAATTATAAGCTGCTGTGAGCCACCCACTGTGGGTATTGGAACTGAATTCTGGTCCTCTGAAAGAGCATCAAGTACTTTAATCTATGAGCCATCTCTCCAGTCTCTCTGTGGTGGCATTTGTAATCCCGGGCTGGGGAAGCAGAGACAGAGATCTCTGGGGCTCACTGGCCAGCCAAATGAGCCGACTTAATGAGTTCTAAGCCTGTGAGAGTCCATGTCTCCAAAACAAAATAAAAAGAAATAATAAAAAGTAAAGGTGGACCAATATCTGAGACTGTCCTCTGGCCTCCATGTGAGCATTACATGCACATGTGCATACACACAAAATAAAGAACTTGCCCTCACCCTGCTTGGACTGGCTACATTTTTCTCTGCCAGGTCTACTTTGGTCAAAACAAATATGGTCCTTCTTCCATGAGGATCCATTTGACTGACCAAATCTGTAACAATACTGCGTTCAGCATCCACAGATCCATCTGAAAAAAATAAAAATGACACTGTAATAACTAGTAGGTTGCAAAAATTTTCACAATCTTAATATATTTACTTTATGAAAGAACACTGTAGCCAATAAAAAATTCCAATGATGTCAAAAGTTAAAAAAAACCCAACTTCAGATCCATTTATTAATAAAATGAACAAGAGAGAACTTAAAAACACATTTGCCATGTATGTTTATATGACATGTACTGAAGCAAAGCTCAAGTTGCCAAGAGCAAAGCATATCAGAGCACCTAAGATCCACCATGATTTACCTTGAATGCAGAGGATGATGGCATTAGGATTCTGCATGTAAGCTTTGCTGATACTGAAAATAGTTTCCTTTGTGTCAGGAGCCATGCCTGCTGTCACAGTCTTGAAGAAAAGTTTTAAATGTCATTACAAATGTTTTCCACAGTAGGAATAAAATAAACGGCTGGTCTGTATATACTTACATTAATCACACCAGGTAAGTCAACAAGCACCATCCTCTGTAGCCCAGGGCCTTTCACGTTTAAGGATATGGTCTATTCAGGAAGATAAACATAAAGTGAATTTGGGGGTGAATTTGCTAAGAATATTTGTGGTTATTTATTTCTGAAAATTCTGTATCTCACCTAGTCACATATTTCAGAAAAGTTGTTTCCTTTTGATACCAAAGTAATTATTCTAGAAAATTACCCCCAGATGTTACCCTACTTAGAACATAAAACAAACAAACAAACAAACACTCAAAAAACAAGCATCTTGGAAAAGCTGCAATCTAAATACCAATATCAATACCATAATTTATATGAAGCCATACATTGCCTTTCCCTAAAACACTGTTGAAATGAATTACAACCCTCACCTCAGGGCTCACTGTACAGCCTTCTTTCACGTTTTTCCTCATTCGGAGTTCTATTTCATGTCTTAATGCTGCAAGCTACCAATGGGAAAGAACAAAATTGTAAGAAAATCTTAGTCGACAAATACTTTAATTGTCTTATAAGCTCATAGGGGTTATAAAGTTACACATACGAACTTGAGATGAATTCTACTTACATCTTCCTCTTTGGTAAGATCAAACTCCCGAGAGCTATCTTTAAACAAGGCCACATGGTGAGGACCTTCACTGAGAGTCACCTGAAAGGAATAGAAAACAGATGCAATGACACATTTATAATTAATATTAACTCTCACAGCATTTCATGGTCTGGACAGGGCCACTGCATTGCACAAATCCAGGTCCGTTCACACTGTACCCAGGAGTGTCCCCTGGAATTGTCAGCATGGCACCTCTGTATCAATCATGTATATGTCATCCATGTTTTGATTTCCCAACAAGATGGGTGGGTAATTTATATCTTTTATGGCCTAAAGAATATGCGGTTGCACCTTTCTTTCCCCATGCTATGTTTTATGGCGTGTCAAGAACAAAAATCATTATTGTAAAACTTGAAAAAGAAAAGAAAATCCAGGACTTGACAAAGATGAATTTGGGTAAAGGACAGCTCATTTAGTCAACATTCATCAATATGTGAACTATATATCAAGTATTCCAGATGTGGAAACAGAGCTGTCTGTTTCAGACTTCTCTACTATAAGAATTTATCACACACACACACACACACACACACACACACACACACACACACACCAGAACAATGTGGCAGAAGCTAAGGTGTCACAACAGAGAAAGATTTTGGCCATCAAGAAAGCAAAGCAGACTTCATCCAAGAGTGGCATTTGGGCAAAAATATTTTAACAACATGTATTAACAGTCAACAGTTTTGCAAGAATTTCTAAACTTATTTCTTAATTTTTAAATTATAATTTTTGACATTTCCATAAATCTACTGTTTTACTTTATTATACATATATATTTAAATTTTTATGTGTATGAATTTTATGTCTGTATGTTTGCAAGTGCACCATATTGTGCAAAGCCCGAGGAGGTCAGAAGATGGTGTTAGATCCCCTGGAACTGGAGTTACGGACAGTTGTTAGTCACCATGTAGGTGCTGGATTCAAACTCAGGTCTTCTGCAAGAATAGCCAGTGTTTATTTTTAATATTTATTATTTTTATTTTATGTGTATGAGTGGTATGCCTGCATGTAGGTAAGTACACCCATGTTGTGAATGCCCACGGAGGACAAGAAGAGGCTGTTGGATCCCCTGGAACTGGAGTTACAGACAGTTGTTAGCTGTCATGTGGGAGCTGGGATTCGAACCCAGGTCTTCTGCAAGAATAGCATTCTTAATCGCTAAGCCATCTCTCCAGCCCTACAGCCAGTGTTTTTAGCCACTGAGCCATCTCTTCAGTTCCCCAATTTACTTTAAAAATATACTTCCTTCCACTAAGATAAGCTAAGCAACTATATAAAAATACAAAAACTGGCTGCTGAAAACAACTATGGCAGTCTCAACTAGGAGACCAGGAGCCCAAAGGACTTGAGGGGGGGTTTCCTATAGCTGTTTTTCATCAGAGTACTTGCTGATCTGTGGTGCAGGACAGAGACTTAAGAGAAAATCTTAGTCTGTAACAATGTCCCTGGGTCAAACAAATAGACAAAAATTGGATTCAGGATTTTCAAGAAGCTATGATTCAAGGAACCAAGATTCCAGTGAAAAATGAACTATAGAAATAAATCTCTAAAAACTAACCCTACACCTTGTGCATGATACACCTTCAAGACACATATACGAAGAAACCAAGCTGTTAAGGAGGCTGAAATGTTGTCAAGATTTTGCCAATTCCACTGCTCCAAGAAGACAAAAATTGGGGTCCATCAAGAAGGAAGAGCCCTGATAAACAGCAGAAGGTTAATGGCCTTGTGTGTTTCAAGGAAACCTCCCATCTTTCTTGTCTCTAAGAGCGAAGTTAATTCTTCCTGAAGTATCTCTCATGGCCTCCACAATTAGGTACCAGTAGCAACATAAAAGACAGACTCCCAGTGTTTTTGTAGTTTATTACTGAGCACGACATGACACACAGACTCACTTTGGGCTTTTCTCTCCTAAGTTGAAAATACCCCCAGACTCTCATCAATGGTAACATGGATATGCAAAGTTGAGCACATTCACTTAACACCACCAAGCAATGAAAAAGGAACCAGTCTCATACAATGAGGTCCAGTGCATAGCTAGATCCAAGGGTGCTCTAAATCACTCTCCACTGCCCAGTACTCCACCTTGCTGCAGCTAGAAACATCGCCTCTTGAAGGTTTTAAGTCGGTTTCATCGTCTCACTTTCTACCACTATTCTGATTATACTCCTTGGTGATTTCAAGTTTCTAATTCTTGTATTATTTATCTAGACTTCTATTAGGTGAATGCAAAAGAAAAGCAACGAAAAAACTACAGATTCACTTTAAATTAATGCCACACACTTAATGTAACTTCAGCGTAACCCATCAACTTTGTATTACTTGGCCCCATCAACTCACTAGTAGAGTTGCCACGTTCTCTCAGAAAAGACTTCATGTATTTCCTCCGGCCCCAATCCTGAATCTCTTTTCCTTTCTCTTTACTTAATAGTGATAATTTAGCTTCTTATTTCGCTGAGGAAGTTGAAGCAACCAGAAAGCTTCCTAATAGTGAGTGCATTTACTTGCCTACTCTGGTAAATGGAAGGAATGCTTCTATCAGAGCATCTGAACTCACAGATCACTTTTCCTCAATGCTTTCATTACCTGACTTGTAGTTTACAGGGTGGTTCTGGTTCTCCTCCAATCACACTGGCTTACCCTCGCACATTTCAAACTGTTTCCTTTTCCTTTAAACTTAACTGATAATGCCGCCACTCCCAGCAGGTCCTTATCTTCTCTATCTCCACTCCTTCCCTTGTAAATCGTGTTTCATAAGACCACAACTTTTAATACTACACTTGGATAGATCATCCTGACTCCAAAATTTATGTGTCCCCAAATCTGCACATTGAGCTACTTATTTGTTATCATCCTTTAGCAGGAAAACTAAACTGAACACTTTGACTAAAGTGAACCTACTTAGACTTCTTTATGAAAATAACATTCTTTAATCTACTCAAGACAAAACCCAGGCCTTTGATGATTGGTCTCTTCATATCAAATCTGTCAAGAAATTCTGCTGGCTCTACTTTACAAATAGCTTCATAATCCCAGCAATGTTATTTCTTGGGTCCACGTGTCATCCAGTAAAACTGCCTCTCCCCTGACCTCCATGATCCTGCTTATCTTATAAACATCTACTTGCAACACAATAAATATTTAGATATTTACTATGTTTATGGAAAAAAATCTTTTAAACTTAGTAGCACACGGTCTAGAGCCAGGAGTGTCCAACCTGGGGCCCATGGGCTGCACAGACCCCAGGATAGTTATGAACATGGCTGAAGACAAAAATCATAAACTTAATTAAAACATTGAGGTTTTTTGTGATTTATTAATCATTATTAATTTTTGTAATTTGATTGCATGGTTCTCAAGTGTGAATTTTGTAGATGACAAGTTTGCCACAATGATTGCAAAGATTGCTAGGGCAGACCAATGCTGGTATAGAGTAAGAAAACAAACATGTGCTTAATGAAAGACCCTGTGGCCATTTACTTTCTCCCTGTGTTCATCAGTGAATTCACTGAGCTAGCGCTTTTATGTATGTGCAGGGAGTTCATATGCAGATACATATGTATAAGTGAGTCCAGCCTCCTTCACCTCAGAGACTTTGATCTTGCATTGTTTCCTCATTATTTTTTTTCTTTATTAGATCTTATAATGATCTGACACACACTGATTATAACTCAGCATAAAAATACTTCTAAAAATCTTCTCGTCACTCAACGGATTACCCTCCTTTTTCTGCTGTTTTACAGTAGAACTAGAAAACTACTTACACTCACTGACTCTACTTGCAATATTCTCATTCTCTTCCTCTTTGTATGTCTTACTCAATGACACCAAGGGCCTGGTGGCACAGCCTGGCCCCTCGCCTCTGGTGTCCTCTCCCACTACTCCCCTCTTGCTCATTCTCTCTGCTCTGGCTGTATGGGCCTCCTGGCTGTGCCTTCTACTAATTTCTACACTGGGAATGATTTCGAATGCTATATTGAGACCCCTTCTTCTGCTAAAAGTCTTCATTCCAACATCATGAGCAGACGTCATTGAAGAGGGGCTTTTCTGAGGCACTTCAAGGGCCCATTTTCTTACCTTCACTGGGGAACGTGTCATCATCTCCCCTGATCCTCTTGGGAATATTCGTGCTTGAGCAATCATTTCCAACACACTTGTTTTTCCAGCACTCTGATCTCCAACCACAACAACCTTATCACGAAACAAATTGCACCTATTAGTATTTTTCTGATACCACATTAAATGTAACTAAGATTTGGAATGACAACACATTTTTTTTAGTCTTTTGAGATATTTATAGTCAAAGAAATGTTTTTTTAAATCTATGAAAAACTGATGGTTGATAAATGTAGACACAATGAAAATACACAAAGCCAAATACTAACTGGATTCACGTTTTTTGTGGCCAATCTTTTTTTTTTTTTTTTTGGTTTTTTTGAGACAGGGTCTCCCTGTAGCCCCAGCTGTCCTGGAACTCATTATGTAGACCAGGCTGTCCTCGAACTCACAGAGATCTGCCTGCTTCTGCCTCCCAAGGGCTGGGACTACAGGTGTGCACCACCACACCCGGCTACAAATTTTTATTTTTAAAAAATGGTGCTAATTAAAAGTTATTTCCAAAACCAGATCATTAATAACTTTCTACAAATCTTTTCCATAGTTGATTTACATTGTACAAACATACTTCAGATTCAGTTAGATCAAATTTCATTAATGTTTAATTTGTCATTTGAGTAGTTTTAACATTATATAAATAAAATGAATTTATAACACCAAATAGATAATATATATAATCTTTCAAAACACATAAACATAAGTAACACATATTTACTTATATAACCTCCAAACTAAAGAACCAACCAATACTCAGTATTTAATATAGTAATCATGATTACATAAGTAGAGTATGCCTAGAAGGTTTGAGGCCCTGAACACATAATTTTTGAGAAGCTTAAAGTACTTTCTTGCTAATGAGCAAGCTCACTGTTTATGAATTTCCCTTACCCTTGGTAGATGGTCTTGTGTGTTATAACTGGCATCATAATCAGAGAGGACATCAAGAACTTCAGAATACATATCAATCAAAGATTTCTGTAAAATTTTAAAAAATCAATAAAAAACAGTCAAAGCAGACATAACAAGTAAAAAAAGGTTGATAAATTCAAATTTACACTGCCTTTTGCAGTATGTAAATACATTTCATAGTAAAAAAAGTACAGGATAAAATTCCATTTTTTCTTCAGTTTATTTGGAAATACACTGATTTAATAAAATTTATTAACTTAAAATTTTCTAATCTAGTAAAAGAGAAAAGTCATTAATACTAATGAGCTACTATGAAATGCCAAAGAAAGGATCAAGTGCTCAACTTACTGACAAGCAAACGACTCTGTGGCGTCTAGGCTGTGTGGAGTGACAGAAAGGGGAAAGGGTACAAAGCAGGAAAGCACATGGCAGAGTGAGGAGAAAGGGAAGAAAGCATGTCCAAGTGAGAGTCTGATGACAGTTAGAGCACTGTCAGGGGGACCCTGCATAGCAGCAGTGTGTGGCAAAGCATCCTCTGACAACCGGCAGGCTACAATGTGAGCATCCAGGGCAGACACCCTAGATTGGTTCTCTCAGCAGACCAGGATTGAGTATGGCATCCTGTATATAACAAGCTTCAAGGAAAATATCTGGCGGTCAAACAAACGAAGACCTAGCCCAAACAAACAAAGACCTAGGTCGGGAAGCAAAGGGTAACACTGAACATTTACTAATGAAGGGTAAGTTTTAATGTCAAGGTAGGAACAATATGAGACTTTAAGAATTGATCCTTTAGTCTCTTAATACCTAGAAATAAATAAATGGCACCAACTGCCACCACATCTAGCTAAAATTAACAAGAACATTTTACTACCTTTCCATTTTATGAGGGGGAGAAAGAAACCACTGTAAGGTAACAACATTTTGTAACACTTGGACATGACCTTTGCTCAGTGGCCAAGTAAATATAAATATAACCAGGCTATTTATGTTTCGTGTGGTTACAAGTTAGAATCAGAGCTACTAATGCATGTTGGCTAAACTAAAGAGACATCACTGGACCTCGTTTACAGGAGGTATGTGTCATGACAGAGTCTGCTATGCTGCAGCAACTATTTACTTATTCTGAAACTTTGCTTGTAAGTCTCAGATTTAACTTTAAAGTTAAAACAATCACTTCAACTTGACACATTTGGCTTGGGTCTCTATGAACAGTGTGACTTAATTAATTGACTGAAACCTCTCCTTAGAAAATAAACATTTTTTTTTTTTTTTAAACTGAAGACAGTGGCTTTATCACTCCCTGGATGTACATATAAGGAAATGAATGGTGATGTCTTATTTAAGTGTCCATCAAACTAATAAACTTAATTTGATAGATACAGAAACTAAGCTTAAAGATAAACTAGATATTTTATTAAAATAAATTGGTTCAGCTGGGCATGGTGGTGCATGCCTTTAATTTTAGCACTCAGGAGGCAGACGCAGACAGATCTCTGTGAGTTCAAGGCCAGCCTGGTCTACATAGTGAGTTCCAGGACAGCTGGGGCTACAGGGAGACCCTGTCTCAAAAAGACAAAAAAAAAGTTTTATAAGAAAATTCTCATAAAAATATTGAATTTTATGGGCACAATATAAGATGAATTTTTAGAAATTACAGTTTGTGAATTGTTGACAGATAGGGCTGGAAAGAAAAAGATGATAAAACATTTTACGGTTTCTTAAACATTTTTATCAACGAACACACAATATTAAGTGTTAAAGTTCTGAGAATTAACAAATTAAGATAAATTTAAAGTACCTTAAGTTTTCTATGATGGATGCCTTTGTCATCTTTCTGCAATACTAATTTTCTCAATTCTTTGTTCTCTTTTTCTAAACGTTCCAAGATTCTCTGATACTTTAACTGCAACAAAATAGTATACAGAACTATGTAAAAAAGAGTCTAATTAAAATCTTCCATGTTGTAAGACTTGACTACATACAACAAATTACCACATTTAAAAATATTCTATGACAATGTTAAGAAAATAAAATCAGCCATGATGATGTCACGCAAACAGCAAAATCCATAATTTTCTATCATGATTTAGTATTTAACTTGAGAAAAATTATTTGCTACTTACACTGAAGAATTATTTAGAAATACTATTAATGTGAAAACTTAAAGTTCTGAATTATACACTAAAAAGCAATATTTCCTATGATTTAATTAAGTCTTCAGTTTAGGGCCATTTGGCCAAAATCCAAATTCTTTTCATCCCCACATCATTTTCAAGAAGATGGATGAATAGCCAGCAACACCAATGTGTGCATTGTGTGACAAGTGCTTCGTGCATTTCATGTGGCTCAGCCTTCACAGAAACTCCACTCTCATGTTTAGTGTTTGTAGATGGGGAGTTTAAGGTTTGGGATATGTGACAGCCTATCTTAAAGTCATGTTGCTTATGTGGCAGGGGAAAGGGCATCTGAAAATAGGTCTCGAGTCAGGTGCTCAGACTCTTCCATGTTCTATCAAATGCTCATGTCTAGAGGAATTATGTTAGTATATAAAATACTGATATGAACACAAATTTTAAAGATCAGTATGTTTAGGGTTATTCTGTCAAAGTAGCTGAATAGCAACACACTTTTCTTCTCAAGTTGAGCCCTTCAAATTGGTCATCTAGTCTGTACAGATAATTATTAAGAATTACTCTCCAGGGATGGAAAGATGGTTCAGCAGTTAAGTGCACTGGCTGCTCTCGCAAAGATGTCAGGTTTGGTTCCCAGTACCCACACGGCAGCTAACAACCATCCTTAACTCCAGTTCTAGGGATCCAACACCCTCTTCTAGCTTCTGCAGGGCACTGCATGACACAGTGCACTTATACACATGCAGGCAAAATATTCACACACATAAAATAAAATTTAAAAAGGATTACTCTATAATCAGCGGAATTTGTGTTTGTACAACATACATCACAGTGTTCATAATGGAAAACATTTCTTAAAACTGTTTTAAGTTTTAAAAGCACCAGATTGGGGGCTGGAGGGATGGCTCAGTGGTTAAGAGCACTAACTGCTATTTCAGAGGACCTGGGTTCGATTCCCAGCACTCACTTGGCAGCTACGAACCATCCTTAACTTCAGTTCCAGGGGAATCTGAAGCCCTCTTCTGACCTCCAAGGCATTGCATGACATGGGTGCACTCACATACATGCAGGCAATACACTCATACACATAAAATAAAAATATAAATAAAATATTAAAAAAATTGTTTTAAGTTTAAAACTCCTGAGAACAAAGTAAATGATAGGAAATCATAGTCGTATCCTCACAGAATGTCCAAATAAGGTCAAATTAAAGAAAAAATATACAAACTACATAGTGTCAGCCAAGTAGAACTATAGCATCAGCTGTATGATAAGCATATTTCATACATTTGTTTATACCCAGTAATAATACAGGAAGATTCTAGTATATCTCTGCTGTTTAAGATAGCAGCTACTAGTCACACACAACTACTTGAAACGTGGCCTGTTTAAATCAAGGCATACTGAAACAAAAAGTGCTTTATTAATATCTGTTATATATTGAAATGATACTAATTTGGGACATATTGGGTTAAATAAAATATACTATTAAAATTCTCATTTGCTTCCCTTTTTTAAATGAAAACAAAAAAAATTTGGCCTGCATATTTCTTTCTACTGAGCATCACCAATGCAGACAGAGATAACTCCATGGTTTATTATATTATACATCCTCCATACAATGCCCAGTGGTTAATAGCTACAGTCATACAAACTGCAGGGTGGATTTCCACTGGCTCATTTCTTTGTAAACACGGAATCTATTTGGGGAAATCTACATTTGTTTTTCCTTTGGTACAAGTATCAACTTGCAGGCATCCTGCAGAGAAGTGCAACCAGGCTAATGGGCACGTCTAGCCTGAGCTCAGCTTTGGATGCAGCCTAACCCAAAATTACAAACATACGTAAAATAGAATGAATATTTTGTGATTTCTTTTTGTAACCTGATTATGCAGTTCTCAAGTATGAACTGTGCAGATAACCACGTTGTGTTGCAATGTCAAAAAGCTGGACATGTTTGCCTAGAACAAATAATTCTCAAACTTTAAGATATATTGTAATTATCTTTTGGGCTTTAAAAACAAAGATCGTGGCTGGGTTTATTGGTGAGCAGGCCTATCATCCCAGCATTCAGGAAGCTGAGGTAGGAAGATTTTAAGCTGCAGGTCAGCTACACAGCAAGACCCTATATCAAAAATAAATTGGGTGTTCGCCTTTGTAAGTTACTCTATTTCCCCACCTTGGATATAAACTATGAAATATTAAAAAAAAATCTCTAAATATGTGGCCAGTTCTACATATATCCATAAGATCAAACTTATTTTGTGCAAGTATATTCCTCTTTTTTGTTATTGTCAAAAAAAAAATCTGTATTTCTAACAAGCTCTTAGAGACTAGTGACTTAAAAAAAGATTAGTTTACTGAGTATACAGCAAGGGAACTGTGGGCTGGGCAGAAGCTAGAGTACTCCCTGTGTGGAGCTGAATGACTCTCCACTCATAGCAGAAAAACCTAAGGCAGACAAAGCACAGGTGATTCTAATATATAGAGAGGAGACCAAAAGAACAGATCATAGAAACATCAACACATACTACACTAGTTGTTTTATTATTATTATTATTTTTATTTTATGTGTATGTGTGTATTGCCTGCATGTAGGTAAGTGCAACCGTGTCGTGCGATGCCCACAGAGGACAGAAGAGACTGTCAGATCCCCTGGAACTGGAATTACGGACAGTTGTTAGCTGCCATATGGGTGCTGGGATTCGAACCTGGGTCTTCTGAAAGAATAGTCAATGTTCTTAACTGGTGAGCCATCTCTCCAGCCCCGATACTACACCAGTTTAATTTCATCTCCTTATTTTTAAAAATAAGTCTTAATTATTAGATATTTTTATTTATATAGAATAACTGCTGTTACAGTACTAGGGAAGTCTTATACTAAAGGTAGTTACTCAGGGCTGGGGAGATGGCTCAGTAATTAAGGGCACTTGCTGCTATTTTGGACAACCCAAGTTTGGTTCCTAGCACCCACAATGGGCAACTTAAAACTGCCTGTAGCTCCAGCTCCAGGGGATCCAAAGGCCTCGTCTGGATTCCACAGGCACCTGCACTCACACATGCACAGCCACACATGGTCACAAACATATAAACCTAATTAAAAAATAAAATAAACCACCAGGCATGTAGTGCATGCCTTTGATTCCAGCACTCTGCAGGCAGAGGCAGGAGAATTTCTGTGAGTTTAAGGCCAGTCTGGTCTACCTAGTGAGTTCTAGGCCAGCTAGGGCTACAGGGAGACCCTGTCTCAAAAATACCAACCAACCAAACAAACAAACCCCCAGTTGAGCCTGGGGGCTTAAGCTTTAATCCCCAGCATTCAGGAAGCAGAGGAAGGTAGATCTCTAAGTCTGAGGCTGACTTGGTCTACAAAGTAAGACCCTATATCAAAAAAAAAAAAAAAAAAAAAAAAACCCCAAAAAAAAAAAAAAAAAAAAAAAAAAAAAACCCCAAAAACAAAACAAAACAAAAAAACACCCCAAACTCCCAAACAAAGCAAACACAATAAGCAATACTTGAAGAAAGAAAAAGTCGCTGGGGCTGGGGACACAGCTTAGTGTCAGGGTGCTTGCTTTGCACGTGTAGTGTCCTGAGTTCAATCCCTAGCATCTCATAAAGAAAAAGCACTAGATTTTTTTCTTACTCATTAGAATTACCTGAGTATGCAGAAGCTCTTCTTGAAGCTGGTCAATTTTTTCTTTGTCGGACACCTAAATATTTAAAATGAATTTTTAGTAGAGCATATTTAGAATTATATAAAATGTACAATAACCTAAAATTTTAAAGAAGCATTAACCGTTAAAACGACTGTATTTATATATACATTTAAGATAAATTTTAAATCAAGTGTTCAAGAAAAATATTCGTATTCATCAATAAAAAGAGCTCATCAAAACCTCATACTATGAAATAAAAACATTAAGAAGTCATTTTCCCATTACCATTCTAGTCGTTCGTTATGAAAGGCTTGTTAGAAAACTAAGAGATGAACATCTGTGTTTACTATATTAAGAGGTTGTTTTGTACTAAAGGAAGGGATTTAGATGCTTAGAGCAATAAAGCATTGCTATCTCTCTAGAGTATGTTTTGGGACTGAAAAAGCTCACTGGTTATAGTGTATTTTTTAATAAAAAAAAATTGATTCCTGTACCTTAGGGTCATGCTTAATAAATGCAAAGAACAACTTGCATCTTCAGAGATTTAAGCGGAGCCAGAGGCCTGTTTTTAAATTCAATTTCAATGCAAGACCACCTAACTTAAAGCAAATATATCTGTAGAAATGAAACCAAGAAATTAAAACTGATTTCAATATAAAAAATAATAAAATTCACAGGTATTGTGTAAACTCTTTCAAATGATATTAATAGTTCTAAAACTATTTTTAAAACCCAAACTTTTATTGCATAACACGTTTTAAAGTAGTCACAATAAAATTCTAAACACAAAATATAATGATTGATTAGGATGAAAATGTCACTAATGACAAATTCATATAACTGTGCACTGACTGCTGGGTAAGATACAGAAGTTGTCTTTCTCAGACTTTAAATGATTTTATTGAGATAGACATTAATAACTCTTGTCCATGCTATAAAATGTTACTTTCAGATTTTAGTTCGTAGTTCCAAAGAATTTTTCAAAAATTTCTCATATTCTAACAACAATAATAATAATAATAATAATACTTACTAGAAATGATAGGTACATGTTCTCCCTTAAAAAACTCTAAGCTTGAAAATCTCTCAAAATGATTTAGTAATGAGAGAAAAAGGACAATATAATACAGACTTTGTTTCTCCAACCCTGGGTAGTAAGCAGAGACTGGCAGGCAGAATTTCTGTTTTCATTCTGACTACGTGTATTTGTGTAGATTGGACAAGACTTATTAAGGCTCTTAAAATGTGAGGAGCCAGGCAGGTGGAAGAGCCCACAACCCAAAAAACAAAATCCAAAGGCCAAAGAAGAAACCAGTAACTCCATATTATGATCACATGGCATGCAATCATTCTGTAACAGGATGATCATAGAAAGCTATTAAGCAAACTGAATTCCCATTTCATTTTTAAAGGTACCTTGATCTACTTTAATAAATATTCATCCAACTATAACTGATTACTATAAAATATATAAATAGTATTACTTTCAACTTAGTTTTAAATGTGAATTGAGTGGTTTCATGCAACATGTCCCAAATTACTAAAAAAAAAAAAAAGAAAAATCAACATTACTCAGCACCTGGGGCAATAATTAAGAAACTAATATAGTTAAATAAAAACATTAAAATATTTATTCTAGGCCAAGGACCATAAAATGCTAACTCAGTAGTTGATAAAACAAAAGGTTACATAAAAGGATATATGGTTATCAGACTATTACAATCTTGATTTAAATACTAGTATTTAGTAAGCAAGCTAGAAAGCTTTTTATAAATTAGTATTTTAAGAATATTCAAAGTTATCATTTGTTCTTTGGGCACAATTGTGAGGAACTCAAATAGAATTTAAAGGCATACTTCTTAGCTGCTTCACTTAATGGAGCATCAAAATTCATGCTATATTAAAAGTCAGGTGGCAGAGCAAAAATAATCATTTCTTTTCTAAGATATGGGATGAAAACTTTTAGGTTTACAAAACAAGCACATTTTCTTAGAAAACGGGCATGGGCTATATGCAGTATGTTTTTTATTGAAGCTCTTTTTAAATGTGTGCATGTATGCACATGTGTGTGCATTCATGTGGAAGCCAGAGGATTAGATCAATGTCGTCTTCAGGAATGCCATCTACTTCTTTTGAGATGGGACTTCTCACTGCCCTAGAGCTCACCAATTAGAGTAGGCTGGCCGGCCAGTAAGCCCCAGGGATTATAAGCATGTGTACCACACATGGCATTTTTATATAGGTTCTGGTGATGGAACTCAGGACCTCATGGTTGAGGGGCAAGCACTTTACCCATTATCTTATTATAGTTTTAACTACCAGCTTGGGCATATTTTCTTTTGATGGCTTGACTGGTGAAATTCAGCTGCTTCCAACATGAGGCTCATGTTCTGTTGTTTACTACATTTAGTTTTTGACAGAAATGAAATCAATGGTCTTGAAACCAGAGCTTTTCTACAAATCCAGGGCTGTGAAACTGATGGGGAAAGAGTGGAATCTTCCGCAGAAACAAGCTAAAGTGAAAGAGAAAAATCTTTACTAGCTCCTCACAAAACCTGATTTCAAAATTTTAAGTATTCCTTCCTATTAAGTCATTGTGGTCATTCTGAAATACTGAAAAACAAATATAAGAGAATCATTGGGAAAATTTCTTTGTATGCAATACATATTCATAGGCGGCAAAACTATCAAAGGAAGTTTTAACCTACTGCCTCTGAACTCTTTTGCTTAGAAAAATACAGAAAATCTTAGTTGCTTCTAGCAAAAAAATAAAAAAACGATGAACTGACTATATTTTCAAGAAAGTAAGGACAAAATAATTATTTAAGGAAAAAAGTATTTGTGGTTATTTTGAGCCTTGAGTAACCTCAAATGCCCAGAATGATAAATCTCATAAATAAGGATTTTGGTCATGAATGTGAAAAGCTGAAAAGTCACCTCTGTACTACCGGGCAGGAGGGGAAGACACAATAAGGAATTGGTCCTTCGGGAAAGTAAGGAGAATGGTGCCATTATAGAAGAGAATAGATAATTTTTTTTTTTTTCGGTCTTTTTGAGACAGGGTCTCCCTGTAGCCCCAGCTGACCTGGAACTCGCTATGCAGAACAGGCTGGCCTTCAACTCACAGCGATCTGCCTGCCCTTCACCCCTGAGGGAGCTGAAAAGTCACCTCTGTACTAGCGGGCAGGAGGGGAAGACACAATAAGGAATTGGTCCTTCGGGAAAGTAAGGAGAATGGTGCCATTATAGAAGAGAATAGATAATTTTTTTTTTTTTTCGGTCTTTTTGAGACAGGGTCTCCCTGTAGCCCCAGCTGACCTGGAACTCGCTATGCAGAACAGGCTGGCCTTCAACTCACAGAGATCTGCCTGCCTCTACCTCCTGAGTGCTGAGCTTAAGGGCATGCGCCACCATGCCCAGCTGTACATAAATAATTCTTAAAAGTCCCACTGATTTTCATACAAGGTAACTGCAAAGATACCTTTGGAGCAAGTCCTATTTGGGGTCCTATTAAGAGCACCTTAATAAACAAAACAGTGTAGGTACAGCTGCATCACTCTATTTTACAAATGGCAGAAGAGGTGAACTAAAGGGTTAAGCAAATAACCAAATAAATGGGCATAGGAATGATAACCTTAAGTCTGAAGACAGATCAGTAAAGCAGGCCTAAATTGAATATTAATGTTTGGTAACTCAGAAAATGAATCTGCGTTTATTACTAATATCCCTGAAACTGCCAGATTCACAAGCATGTTGCTATTCTTAAACTGTAGTTTAGAATCTTAAAATGGCAAATAGATGGGACTCATTTCAATCTTAATATTAAAAAAGTTAAGAACAAATTGTAATTGGCACTATATTCACATTTTTAAGTAACATTTCAGAACATGCCAACTCCGCCCATTTCTTTCTGTAACAAAGCTGGCTCAGTAATCGGCACCCAACTTCTTAAAATATGTAAATTATATACTCACAGGATTCAGAATAGAGACTTTTCAAAGTAAGTCCTTCCTCATTTGAAGATGTCTACTTTAGCCACATAGACAAAACAACTTTTCTTTTTACTACCTATGTTTTTCATTTATCAAAACTGCAACACATTTGTTGATCCCACAGCCATGGAATTGAGAAAAGCCAGGAAATGACACCGAAAAACTAGATGAATTATGATAAGCACTCTCAAGCATTAACCACCACCACGTTAGCCAGTAGAATCACTGCCTTCAATCGTCTCTAATACTGATTTAGGTATCAGAACCTAGAAAGAAGCTACCTTTTTTCCCAAATAAGGTCTTTACATAACTTCAAAACTCTGATCCAGTAGATGTGAGATAATTAGCTTATTTTAAGATCTGCATGTAACTGTATAATTATGGCACTTGCTTCACTTTGATCTAAAAGTCTGCATAGACTACAAACTTAGAGACTGATACAGTAGGATTTTGACTTAATAGTTAAAAGCACATTTTAAGGATTTTTTGATTGCATTAATAACCAATTTGGATGACTCAATAACTGGATCACATAAACAAATTTAGTTTCATTTTAAATACAAATACACGGGCTCTCACAGATTACCTAATCTTCAGAATCCAATTTGCTATGCTTGAACTTACATTTGGGCTTTGTCAGAACTACCCACTCTAGGGGTATGATGTAAGGCTGGCCTTGAACTCACAAGAGATTTTTTTTATATTTACTTTGTTCAAAATTTTTGCTTATAACTGGAGTCCTTGATAAATTAAGGCGACATGATCTTGGCAGAAATGGCTGATTAGTGTGACACATCAGTAGCCCCCTTAAACCATCCATCACCTTGCGCTTCTGTTGGGCATAGCTTGCGCTATACTGGCCAGCGGTTCTGCGTGCTTCCTCTTCATGCTCTTGAATTTGCTGTTGTAAGAGAATGAGCTCACCAAGCAGACCCTGCCATGAGTTTACAATGAGGAGAAGAGGAAAATTGGGGAGGAAAACAATGTTAAACCAAAGGGTACAACAGAGAACAGATGCAAGACAGGGAGGAATGGATAGCTTAAAACAAAAATGGAAATTCATGCCACCTATAGAGCCACCACACAACTGGGCTCTGCACTGCATTTCCATTTTCCCCTCAGTAAAATAGGTGTCTCAGCAAAATAAAACAGCATGGTCTAAAAAGTGAAACTCAAAGTGCAATAACTGCTGACTAAGCCAGCCAGCCAGCCACACACACACACACACACACACACGGTATGTGCACACAAGAAAACCTAGACTGAGATGCTCAAGGACGACAGCATGGCAGCTCACTGGGTCACTGGACTGTTCCATAAAACCCTTACTACACAACTGCCAACATGCGCTGATATATGCTGCTGACTTGAAACATGAAAACTAACATTTTTTTTTTTTTTTTTTTAAACATTGTTGACCTTACAGGTCTAAATATTCTAATTCCCAAAGGACTGATTGGAGGATAACTACTTCTTTACTTATGTAATTGTCACTAAATATTTTTCCTTGACATGATTTCTTCAGTTACCAATCATAGCCTTTCAAAACTCAAGCACCAAGTTAATCAAGGCTTTATGTTAATTCATATATTCCATGTGCCTTTGCACACAAGCTTATTAGATTAAAATTTAAGGTTCTATTTTCTAAGTTAAAAATGTTTTAGGTTCTACTTGAATTTCATATAACATTAAATCAGCAGTTTGCATTTTCACTTTTTATGAGCTGTTTTGGCAAAAAAAAAAATAGTAGACTTTGAAAATATAACTGAGCATATATCAACTACTAAAATATAAACCCATAAAATAAGACAATATAGTTATTGTGAAAATTAAAAACAAAAGCCAGTTTGGTCCTATTCAGTTTTTCTACTCCTAAAATTAGTCAACTCAATTATGAAATGTTAAGTTGGTATAACTGTTAATATACTGCATTTACACATGGCAGAATACTAAAATGCCATTTTCTGTGCAGTATTTTATGAAACTGACATGTGCTGCCTACTGAGCTAAGGAAGCGCTCTTTGCAATATTTAACTTGCTGGTCTATGAGATAATCAACTTGAAAATAAATGAAGGAAAACAAAACTACAAATCATTAGTGATAGAAGATCAATGTTTTCTCAATCAGAAAACCTAAAAGGGTGAAGTTTCAATGAACAACTAATTTGTAAAAGAATGTGGAAGTACAGCTAGTTTTTACCAAGTCATAAAAATAAAGATGGGGGGCTGGAGAGACGGCTCAGTGGTTAAGAACACTGACTGCTCTTGCAGAAGGCCCAGGTTCGAATCCCAGCACCCACATGGCAGCTAACAACGTCCGTAACTTCAGTTCCAGGGGATCCAACAGCCTCTTCTGTTCTCCATGAGCACTGCACAACACAGGTGCACTTACCTACATGAAGGCATAACACTCATATACATAAAATAAAAATAATAAATAAAATATTAAAAAAGGAGAGCTAATAATTAAGTAATAGATTTTTAAGATTTTACTTATTTTTTTATGTGAATGAGTGCTTTACCTATGTTATGTGTGTACTCGTGCATTCAATGCCCATGGAGACTAGAAGAGGTCATCAGATCCCCTGGAAGTTAAGGGCAGCTGTCAGCTGCCATATGGTGTACCTGGGTCTTCTGCAAGAGCAGCCAGCGTTCTTAACAGCTGAGCCATCTCTCTAGCACCAGCATCAATTTTTAAAAAAATAATAAAATGTTTTGTATAATCAGAATGCCTCTTATAGTAAAAATGCTTGTTAATAGTACATTCAAAATTTAATTTGCAGGTTCATCCAGAGGCTTAATTTACTTTACAGAACCCAAGAACTTAGGCAAACATAAAAGGTTTCCCCCAAATAAGTGAGAGGTTAGTATTACAGTAAAGCATTTTAAATTGTAAAAGATTAATATATAATTTTTGTTTTTGTTATTTCATTCTTATTTTTGATACTTTAGAACATGATTACTACCAGTGTCAGATAATGAATAAAACAGATTGATTTATAGCAAATCAAAGGATGAAACCAGTTGATTTTTCCATAGACATATGAAATTTCAACATTTGTTTCCAGGCTAAAAATGTACTTGTCTTTAAAGACAGATATGTTAGTTTTATGGTCACTGACAAATTTACCAAAGAAATCAAGGTCAACTATCTTCATTGTTCCGATAATTTCTGTCATTTTTATACTGTTTCTTTCTATCATACAACACAAAGTAATTTAACACTCTTATCCATTTGCTCATTTATCTTAATCATTATTTCTCTTAATCATCCAAGTATTTAGATTACTCAAACAATTACCTTTAAAGAAGGTTTTCTATGTTATTTTCTACGTGTGTCCAACCCAAGGTTCATGGGCAGCATGTGGCCCAACATAAAATCAGAAACTTACTTAATGTTATGTCTCTGCGCTTTTTAAAATAATTCAACTGCACAGTTCTCAAGCGTGAACTCTGTAGATGACAACCTGCGTCACAATGTCAGAAAGTTGGACATGCCTGGAGTAAATACCTGCTAATGGTGACATACCACTAACCCTCAAATTTATAAAATGCCAAAGCGTTTTAACTAACAGCTTAATTCCCCTTCCTAAATCATTGCTTATATCTAAATACAACTGAATAGTAAATACTCTAATATGTATTAGATTATAAAACATATTCTCTAGTGACACCTCACTTTCCTTCCAAGTCTGTTACTGAAGCACTGTTATGTGAAGATAGGTGAAATTAACTGTTACCTCCTAAAAAAAAGTAGGAGAAAACAAAGAATTAGACACAGAAAAAGCTATTTATACTCTGCTATACATCTTAAGATTACCTTTCCCCAATTTTAAACATCAAATCTCACTCAAAACACAAGCTCTATAGCGTCCTCATCTCAGGGGAGAAGACAAAAGGGAACAAATGGAGAAAACTCGGTCCTCAGATGTACAAAATATACCTTGTCGGAAAATATTATCTGAGCTGGAACTTCCTTCTCTCAAGAAATACTGCATAATAATCATTTTAAAGATACTATATATAAAATATAGAAATTATAAAAAATAACAATAAATAATAATTATTAATAATTACAGAAGACACATTCTTTAACACATTCTGGCCATTGTCAGTTCGATACTACAATTCTGTCTCATATTTTGTGTACAATGCTCATAGTTAAAAAAAAAGACAGCATCAGATCAAGAAAATTAGAGTCCAAACTATCAACTGAAATGTTATGCTAATTTAAGATTTAATGACATTATGTGAAAAAGAGTCTGATAAACTTGAAATAGTATGCTGTGATCTAAATAGTTGCTTCCACAAATTCATAGTGAAACCTAACCCCAAGATGATGGTATTGCAAAATGAGGGCCTTTGCACGGTGGTGAGGTCGTCACAGGGGCTCTAGGAGTAAGTGCTCTTGTAAAAGGGGCCCAAGGAGCTGCCTAGCCCTTTATCATGTTACAGACAGTCCTCAGCAGACACCAAATCTGCTGGCACCTTGATCTTGTATTTACCAATTCCAGAACAATGAGAAATACATTTGTTATTTATAATCTATCAAATTTATGGCATTTTTGTTATAAAAGCTTGAACAGACTAAGATAATTATAATCACTTATATGAGAATACATTTTAAATACTACTATTTAAAAATTTTAGTTAAGGCAAGGACAGTATCTACATCTTTGATTTCTTTTGAAATAGCATCTTCCTCTGTTGCCCAGGCAGGTCTCAAAGGCCTGGGTTTGCAAGCAAACATTCTGAGTACCTGGTGCTGCAGACGTGTGCCACTGTGCAAGCACTCTGTTCACCTTAAACAAGGCCTGACATATTTGAGATGTGTTATTGCCACCCAGGTCGAGTAGGTTTGGCACATGTTGGCACTTGAATGGTTCAAAACACAACTTGGTTTTACCTAGTAATCATCTGCAGTTTTTAGAATCAAATTTAAATTGTTTAAAAGGTACAAGTCAACCCTACAAACCATTTTCCTATTTTTCACAATCTCCAGAATATTTCATGGCTGTGAGGGGAAGAAATTAATCAAATAATGTTAATATACTGTTAATACAAAGTAATTCACAGAAAGTACCTATCACTACTGTCATCCCCCTTCTTTTAACAGCCCACGTTTATTTAGGACTTTACACAATCCTCACAACCACCTTAAGTAAGTTTCTCCTTTTCTAACAGAGGAAACCAGGAACTTAGAGAAGCTAAATAACTTGTCCAAGGTTACAGTTTAGAAATCAGGAAAAGCAGGATCTGTGATTCCAAAGTCTGCACTGCTACCACCCAATAAGCTGGTGATGCTATTTTCAAAGAGCCTTTGATCTATTAGGTCCAATATTTATTTAAAAGAGGACAGTACAATAGCAGGCATATCTAAATTACTAGAGCCAGAGTAGGCAACCTTTGGTGGGCAGGCTGAGTAGGGCAGGTGACATTAGAGACTGCAAGCCTAAATAAAATATTTAAGATCTGGCCCAGCAAGGAATTGTTTGCTAACGAAAGAATCTTATGAAAATGACAGTATTTTCCTCATTTAAGCAAGTATTCCTAAGTACTACTTTCCAAAGTTTGAACAATGTATTTGTTTAGCAAAAAAACCCTATTTTCCTATCTTCCCTCTCCAAGTAATATATTACTCAAAGTATTTATGGCCAGATGCAAAATTTATTATTGGTTATCAAAAGGAAATAGGTCTTCCCGCTTTGGATTATTTAATTTGTGCCAATCAAGAAATAGCAAACTATATTTTACTATTTGGACAATTTCTACAAATATTTTAAAGAGATAAACCAACTATTAATAATTATCAGTATTAAAATTTCTATTAAATTTTGTTTCTAAATGGCTATCTGAAACAGTATAATTATTCTATATATGCATATATTACATAAAACCATTGACTGTTTCTTGAATGACATAAACACTCAGTATGAATGTTCTTAGGCAATACAGTGCAAGTCTGTGTGGCTGTTCCATCTTTCCTCATGGCTTTTTTCCTGATTTTTCTTCTGGTCACTCAGCTTCCCATCCACTAAGTACATGTGGTGTGGATTTTGCCTAAGAATCTATCTTACCTACAAGTGCTAGCTGCTAGCTGTTCAGGAAACAAGAATTCCCCAAATCTGTGGTTCTGAGAATTTAATTTTGTCCAGTTACCACATGATTTCTTGCATAAGAAACCTTAGAAATGTAAATCCTACATAAGCAACATTGCTAAGTTCCAACTCAGAGTATCAATGGCATAAAGAACTTTACAGCTGTGTGGGCTCAGCTGTTAGAAAACACAAAGGCAAAGAACAATTTACAGGTAGTAAGAGCCCACCAATTTTATATTTTTTTAAATTAAAAAGTTTCAAATTATAATTATCTTTACTTTTTGTGTGTTTGTACATGCATAAGTGTGTGCCACTGAGTGCATTTGGAGGTCAGAGGGAAATTTATGGGAGTCAGCTCTTTCCCAGTGTATGAGTCTGACAGGTCCAGGTTGTTAGGCTTGGTGGCAGATGCCTTTACTTGCTGAGCCATCACACCTCAAATTTACATATTTTAAGTTAGTCACTTTTTTACTGAGTCAAAACAACAAACTATTTTTTCAAAGAGTTCCACACTACTCTAGGTGCTCTGAGGACAGAAATTAGTGACAGAAAGTCTGTTACACAGTTACGAACGCAAGCTGAAGTAGTGTTTTGCACATGGCAAATGCTCTAAGCATCAAGGTCGGTGCGTTCAACTCCGTGAAGAACATGGTCTATAGTTGTAAAATGGCTATGAAAGACCATGAAGGTGACACGGACTAGGCGAGTGGAAACTAGACAAGCGGAAGGAAAAGGAGGAGGGTGATCTAGCTGGGAGACCTAACAAAACATCAGAGGGACATGTGGGAAGAATGTTCATGCATTGTCATTTAGTAAGAACATTTAAAATAATGCTACTTTTTTACAATTTGGGTCTTCTATAATTTATAAATTTGCAAGTTATTCTGAAATGATCATATTCCTTACTTCAGTGAGAAGCTTATGACCAAAAAGAAACATGATAAAACAGAAAAGAAAATGTCTTACTTAGCCCATCAGTTTTCATGGGAACACCATAATCTTACAGAATCTCAAAGAGGATACATTAGTGGTCTTGTTGCTACATATATTACAGCTGATATAGAAATCTGCTAACTTACAAATAACAGGAAACTTCCAATTCATTAAAATAAGCTCACCCCTCCAACTACCAATTTTGCTTCATAAATTTTAAGTTCTCTAGTCTCAGGGATTTTATGAAGTTCATATCAATATTTTCCTCCAGTGGACACAAAATTTAAACTATTTTTTTTTCCAAAATTTAAACTTTCAGTTAACAGTCATTACTATAGTGATATTACTATATACCAATCAATAAAGTAGTCCAAGCTAAAAGGAACTTTACTAGTTTTGTCAATGTTTATTAATTGAAGATACATGTCAGAACTAGTTGATCACACACCATAGTGTCACAATCTAAATGGTTATAAGTTCAGGTAAAAACCACACAAATGTGATTACTCAGCTTGTGCAGTGTAATGTCGAAATATACACCTTCTGCAGACTTCCTGAAGCTCTCCATTATAATGTCCTCAGACACAAGTCTAGCAAGCTCAAGACAGAAACCACAGGTCATCACCTCATCATGGTGCCCATTCTGACTCAGGTCAAACTATCTGAACCTGTGTCTCCTGAACTCCTTTCACTTTCACTTCAGTTGACTTTGAATGGTCATAACTACACCTCTACTTGACAACTTTTCCAGGTATGTTTTTATATTAAAAGGCCAAATTTTAATTTTAGTTCAAGTTGTAGAAATGTATTCTAATTATTACTACTTTAAATAATTGATTTGCATTTAATTTTGTATTTCCAGTGAAGTCTAGCCAGAATCCACAACCAGGAACCTGACAACCATTAAATTCAAGGATGATCTCTTCAAATCCTGAATACTATTTTAGATGAAATCAGGCACATTCAGGGTGGTATAGGGGTAGATCTGAAATCTATCTTGATTGACCCAAGACTGAATCAAAAGGTAATCAGTGAACCTCTGGATGCCATACTAACACTTCTGATGAACACCCAATCTTCAAAACTGATGTCTGAGTGATTTCAAAAATGCTAAGGTCTCTCCTTGAACACTGCCATTCAAGAATTACTTTGTAGGAAAGGTTCTTAAAAGCATGCCAGCTTGGGGCTGGAGAGATGGCTCAGTGGTTAAGAACACTGGCTGTTCTTGCAGAAGACTGGGGTTCAAATCCCAGCACGCAACTGATGAACACCCAATCTTCAAAACTGATGTCTGAGTGATTTCAAAAATGCTAAGGTCTCTCCTTGAACACTGCCATTCAAGAATTACTTTGTAGGAAAGGTTCTTAAAAGCATGCCAGCTTGGGGCTGGAGAGATGGCTCAGTGGTTAAGAACACTGGCTGTTCTTGCAGAAGACTGGGGTTCAAATCCCAGCACGCAAATGGCAGCTAACAACTGTCTGTAACTCCAGTTCCAGGTTTTATTATTTTATTATTTCATTTCATTTATTATTTTATATTTTATTTGGTCTTTTTGAGACAGGGTCTCTTCTGTAGCCCCAGCTGGCCTGGAACTTGCTCTGTAGACCAACCTGGCCTTGAACTCACAGAGATCGGCCTGCCTCTGCCTCATGAGTGCTGAGACAAAGGGTGTGGGGCACCATGCCCTGCTTCCATGCATAGTTAAAAAGAAGTAATAGGCTAGAGAGATAGCTCAGCAGATAAGAACACTGACTGTTCTTGCAGAAGACCTGGGTTTGAATCCCAACAGCCACATGGCAGCTAACAACTGTTCTTAACCCCAGTTCCAGGGGATGTAACTCCAGTTCCAGGGGATCAGACAGTCTTTTCTGTCCTCACAGGCATTGCACGACACGGGTGCACTTACCCTACACGCAGGCAATACATGCATACACATAAAATAAAAATAATAAATAAGAAATATTATTTTTATAAAAAAAGCATGCCAGCTTATCTGCATCATGTCTGTGTAGCTTACCATTCTCAAGCATCACAGGCAACAGTCAAAACTTAGAACACCAATATGCATCAACAGAATTGAAAACCATTAGCTGGGACTAGAGATATTTTTACCATGTTAATATTACTACAATTTGATTTAACCCATAATAAAAGCACCACAATTCTAGATTCGATATTTAAATAAATCATTGGAACAATACTTGGTAAGGTTTTTGGCTTTTAAAATTTTTTATTTTTTTAAATTATGTGAATATGCGTGGGAATGTGCAGGTTCTCAGGAAAGCCAGAAGAGAAGAGAGGGTATGATTCCCTGGAGCTGGAGTTACGGGTAGCTGTGAGCTACCCTATGTGGGTGATAGTAACTGAACTCAGGTCTTCTACAAGAACAGTATGTGCTCTTAACTGCAGAGCCATCTCTCCATCCCCAACTGGTAAGTTTTTTGTTTGGTTGGTTTTGCCTTTGAGACAGGGTCTCACTACGTAACCCTGGCTGGCTTTGAATCCAGAGATGCATGTGCCTCTGCATCCTGAATGCTGATTAAAGGCATGCATCACTATACCAGGCCTCCAACTGGTAAGCTTTTAATGGGCAAAACAGTTACCATAAATTAAGAAAAAGTTTTAAACAAGTGGCCAAGGGACACTTATTGCCCAACGAGCAAAGGAGCAAATTAAAAAAATAAAGCAATACATCTAGTGGATGGACTCACATCAGAGGACATCTGCGGACACAAACTTGACTTGATAGGCCTTAATATATGTGACAATGCATGTCTGGTGGGAGGGCTACGGGAGAAGGGTACGGGTAGAAGGGTCTATATGTGATTAAGATGTATTATATGAAATGCTCAAAATTTCAATAAAAAATATATATTGGAAAAAAAAGAAAAAAGTAAAACTATGAAGAGACGCAGAGGTGTCAACATATTTTTCATATAAAACGATCAAATTTATGTAAATTTATATAAATTACACATTACACAGATGAATTAAATGTAAATATATTTTCTTATTTTTAATTGATCATAAAGTTATAAAAGAAGTTTAAAAGAATCATGGGATCATCTGTAAACCTAGTTTAATAAAACTGCTATCCTTGAGAAAGTGGGTTTTGTTGACAAACTCAGTTTGCCCTGGACATCTGCATCCTCTTGGAGATTTAGAACATGCGTGAGTATATGCTGATCTGTGAAGTCCCAAGAGAGGCATACTTAAATTGTTTACACCAGCTTTTTCCACAAACATTTACAACAAAACCTCTTTGGGTGGGGGGGGGGAGGCAGTAATCCTTGAATGATTATTTTACAGAATGTATCTGAAGGAAATAGGCTTCTTTGGTTATATAATCAAAGGAATGGTGCATTAACTACTTGCATTTTTTACTTAGTAAATACACATTTTTACTAAGTAATGTTGATCATTTTCAAATCTTTCAAGAGGTAAAAAAAAATAATCTTTTAACTCTTTCAAGACTATCTTATGAGAAGAATTTCATTTTACACTGACCTTTTTATAATGCTTGTCACTTTCAGATCCATGATCAGTTGCTCTAAATGCTGTTTCTCCAGGTGAACCTTAAAGATAAAAACACATAATTTAAACTCTCCAGTGATGTCAATAGTCTAAAATAAATTCCAAATTACATACAATCAATTAAAAAGTAAATGGGATGTTTGGGGTGCGGATAAGCCGAAGATATAGCTCAATGGCGGAGTGCTTGCCTAGTAAGCATTGGACCCCCAACACTGCAAATTGAAAGACAAACAAAAACAACCCCCAAAAGGCCCAGTGCACATCTGCAAGCCCAGCACTCAGCACCTAGGAGACTGAGGCTGGGCTGAATAGTGAGAACCTATCTCAAAAAAAAAAAAATCACAAACAAATAGGATTTTAGAGCAACCTATGTTCAAAGAATAAATTACTTTTTATTTTAAGAAAATGACAATTAATTCAAAAATTTAAAAATTATGATAAAAATGACAATATTTCATAAGGATTATTTTATATAGGAGTACTTACAGTTTGGCCAAATACCACTGCCATCAGACAATGCATATTATACAAAGTAAATTTAAGATGTCAACTAAGACTGGGCAGATGAGACAAACTAAAATCACTTTTCATGTCAATTGACAAAAACAATCTTTTTCAAGAAAATATTTTGGGTAACTTTAAATCGTGTATTTAGGAATTTCTGTTTTATCATAAAAGCAATTCTTTTATTATTTCAACTGAAAGGATATGTTTGCCAAATAAAGGTCTGGGGTTTGAAAGATCAGTATAAGCAGGATTACAAATTTGGTTTGCAATTTTATTTGCAACTAGTGTATTAGAAGCATTTAAGAGGCATGTTAAAGTCAGCAAAAATGTCTGGTTACACACCTAACAAGAGAAGTAGGTCAGAAGCTTCTATGACTTCACTAACCAATTTGTGACCTGTGAAAAATCAGCAAAAGGGGAAATAACAAAGTAAAATTTAATAAGAATGCGCAAAGATGTCTGAGATCTCAGACTTATAAAAGGGCAAGAACTGAGCAAATACGCCAGAATAAAACATAAATTTTACTCATTATGACTCGTAATAATTTTAAGTCACCATACTGGCTCTAACCAATTGTGAAAAGCAAATATATAGGTAGTCTCATCTACTTGTCAAGAATAAGCCATATTTTTCCCCTCACTGACTAAAAACTAAGCATACATTAAAAAAAATAAATTTTCACTTTATTGGATTAAAGATTAAAAGCATTGTGCAACAAAACAATCCTTCCTTACCTGTGGTAAAAAAGTCCTTCAACAAGCTGAGGCTCTCAACAATCTTGTCAAGGTCTGGTGCTAACTTTGCAAGGTCTTCTGAATTAGGAAGGGCTTTTCTGATTTTCTCTGGAGAAGACCCAAACACAGAAAAATAGTCATAAACAGTCTCAAAGTAGGAGTATACCAAACATCTTAGGGCTATAAAAGCATTAACTTGCTTAAACCTCAAACCAGCTCTTCAAAATACCTCCCACTGTCAACTCCATTCTTAGATGAAAGACTGGGGTACACATGAGGAAGGGAGGATGCCAGGGTCCATGATCAGGCAAGCTAGCTCAGAATCCAGATGCTCAGCTACTACACTGAGATGCCAGCAAATGCTTTCAGTTGCATAGTACTCACAAATACATGTACATATTTGAAAAAAAAATATATATATATATATACACATATATGTTTGAAATTGTACTTTTCCTAAAAATACCTTTGTCAACACAGCACAGTTTTATCTTTAAGAAGCACTGTGATGAAGTGCTTACAGATTAATTCACCTCCATATGGAACTAAGATATAAAATTAGATGACGCCTTTAAAAAGGAGAAAAAATTATTTCAAAAAAATTTTAAGTTCATCACGTCACCAACAATTAGTTATTAAATGTATCCTGTTCTTACCTACCATTAAAAAGTAGGGGCAGTGTCTAGGGGATCAAATCACTGTGCAAACTAAAAGACTTTTAAGGGACTTTGCTCCAGAAAATAGAAGTAACCAAGGTGTCCAATCAAAAGGAGCTAGGTTAGACGGTTCATAGTAACATGTTATAGGCAACCTTACACAATGCTGAAAATGAGGTTTTGAAAGGTTGCTAGTAGCATGGAAATGCTGAGAAATTATGCTAGTACAAAACACAAGGCCCTAAGGTTTATGTACGTATGACTAAATAATTTCAAAATAAGGAACTAAACTATCAGCTATATATACATAATAAGTAAGATCAGAGGAAAGTAACCCCCTACGGGCAGCAGCAGCTGTGGAATGATCAACTGTTGGATGCTTATTTTCATAAAAATTTTCTCTTTGAGTTGGTGAAATGGCTCAATGGGTAAAATGTTTGCTGCCAAGCCTGCTGACTTGAATGCAATCCCCAGGACCCAGAGGGTCCCTTTTAAATACAAAAGAGAGAACTACTGTAAGCTGTCCTGCCTACATAATAGCTTAATGTGGCATATGCTCCCCCCATATATAAATAAATGCAATAAAAATTAAAAAGTTTCTTTGATCATCTATTACTTTGATTACTAAAATAAAACCTATATTAAGACTCAAAAGTTAAGAAACTACCCCAATACAACTATTTCTATTCCCAGAAGAAAGTTTGGAGAATATTTTAGTGTTATAATACATACCCAAATCAATATACTCATCAATTTCCCACACAAAGTCAGGCACAATCCACTTATAGTCACTAAGGTCTGGTATCATATCTTTCCACTCATCAAAAGTCTAAAAGATAAGAATGTATGTCAACTGGGTATTCTGAATGCCATATAGAAATATAAAGAGAAATTATGCTAATTAAAATGATCTATGAGGAAAATGTATTAGTACAGAACTTTTAAGGAAGAGATTTATGTGCCCCTGGGTCTGTTAAAAACAAATTAGGAGGTAAGTATATAACATGTAAATAAACTCTTCTACCAAACAGGGAAAATGTAAAAACATAGTCCTATTTCAAACAGGTTTCATGTTGGCTTAAGCAACACAAAGTAGCAAAAGGAAGACCCCCTTTCCTCTGGCCCATGGCTGCCAAGCAGCTGCCCTGTGAACATGTTACCAACCTTCCCTTCTGCACCAGTAATGGCAAATCTCAAAACCAAACAAGTGTTCCTCCTCCCAAAGCAGACTTCCTCCCTCTAGACCATCCTTCCTCTTTTAATTATAATTAATATCAAATGGCACCACTGAAACAGCCTAAGACACAGCAAATACACAGAATGGCTAAACACTGAATTATTTCATTACATTAAGAAAATGACTCTTATCTTTCTTCTTATGTTATAAAATTTTAAAATAATTTGTAATAATCAGAAAACCATCAGGAAAGCTAACTCACTTTTTTGGCTGTATATCCACCTCCAACAGCAGACCCCAGTATGATATATCGAAGTTTTAAGAGCCTCGCTGCTAACCTTGCTGGCCAAAAGTTCCTGTGGGGCTGGTAGCCATATTTAATTGGAGAAAGTTTCAATTTCCGTAAAGGAAGGTTAGTTAGAGAAGAGAACTGCTGAAAGGATGTCCTCAATTGAGGTCTTTGAAGCTTTAAGGTGGGATGACGTGAATTATAAATACTTCGTGAAACCAGATGTAATTTTTGGAATGGTAAGGTTCCTTTAATTCCAGAGTTGTGTTTCACCAAGGATTGGCAGACCCCACTGAAAAATAAAACAAGAATGGGAGAAAGATGAGAGACAGTAAGAAGGCATGGAAGAGACATAAAAGAGCTATAGCCTAGGGGAAAACACACATGCAAACTGACCCAAGACCTACCACACAATAGTTTGCCACATGTCATGTCTTTCAATTCTGCTGATAATTCTAACAAGAAAACACTTAGATCAGCCCCATTTTATGGAAGAGAAAAATGTGGCACAGACAAAAATACAACTTGCTCAAGGTGACATGACACAAGGAATAAAGGTAGAGTACAAACCCAGGCAGGGGACTCCAGACTCTGTTAAGTTAGTATATATAGGCTGTGAAAATGGTGCAAAGAACTGAGTCAAAGAGGGAAAAGGCAGATACTTATTTTACCATCTGATATGCACTGTAAGCAACAGCTAAAAAAAACATGCAAATTTAATTAATTCCAGCAGCTGAAAATGGATACTCTTCTGTCTCTCAACCCCAAATTAGCCCAGAGATAGAAATGAAGTTAATTAATCCCATCTCAAGAACCTGGTTCCCCAGGAAAATTAAACGAACGAAGCAGCCCTAAAGAGAAAGGATGTAAAGGTACATGCCAAGTCCTGAGCTCTACCCTGTTCTCCCCACAGAGAATGAATGGTTACTAACAAGAGCCACACAGGCCTGAACCTAGTTAACACACTGATTCTAAGTGTTTTTTAAAAAGTACTTTATTCATTATTATTTTCATGTATATGTGTGTATTGCCTGCATGTAGATAAGTGCACTTGTGTTGTGCAATGCCTGAGGAGGACAGAAGAGGCTGTTGGATCCCTTGGAACTGGAGTTACGGACAGTTGTTAGCTGCCATGTGGGTGCTGGGATTCAAACCCAGGTCTTCTATAAGAACAGCCAATGTTCTTAACCGCTGAGCCATCTCTCCAGCCCCAATAAGTGGTTTTTAATTCATTTAGTACATGAGCCTGAAAATTTCTCAAGGAAAAGGAATTAGGGGACAGAGAGAAAATGTTGTAAAGGGCAGTGGGGTGAGGGGTAATAGTCTTGTGTTCCTACTATGTGGAAGACATTATCCTAGGTTTCACAAATGTTAGATAAGTCAGAAAAATCCAACATGACCAACATAGTCTCTTATAAATTTGTCTACTTAAAACTTTTCTGTTTCCTAATGGCACAAAAGGGGCTGAAACAAGGTTCAGTCTTACAGGAAAGGTCAAATTCTTTTCACAAGAGATAATGCTGGGCAGGAGCTTGGAAAGTAGTAGATGTATGAACAGATGTGGTCCTAGAAAGGGGGCTGTGGTATCTGCCATCTCCTCTGGAACCCTTAGGAGACAAAGAGCCTTGCTCTGATTCAAGACTTTGGTAACCCTCCAACTCAGGATTCCTGAAGCAAACAGGATTTATTAATAGGAGAAAATACACACTGCCAGATTATAGGCATAGTGTTCCTTTCTAAGTCTACATGTCAAAGTTCCCTCTGGTCACAAAACACTTTCTTTTTTAAAAGTTGGTAGCCATTCTGTAACTTTATCCTCTAGATGAGCCATAACTTCCATTATCTTATAACAGGCAAGTCCCCGTCTTTTACTAATCAAGGGATTACGTTCTCCTGACTTCAGAATGGCATTAAAAAACCCCTAAATTCCCAGCTTTCCTTCAAATTGCCTCCATCCCAACAAGGAGCACATGAGTTCACAGTGGGAGGTAAAATCAAGCAAGTGGGCTAAGGATAAACTACGGAGCCTGGAGCCTGAACTCTGTAGGTACGAAGCAGTCACTGACCACTCTTGAGCAGACTAAGACTAGGCAGTAATGAAAGGAGGTGTTACGGAAGTGTTAGGTAACAGGACTTCTGTTATACCTGTTATATCTACACCCGTCCTCCCCACCCCCCAAGATTATAAGTGCTCCTCCCATTAAAGGCAACTGCATTTGGTAGCCCCGCCCCCCTTTAGGAATCATAAATATAGCCACTCTCATCCTAAAAAGGGGAAAACATCTCAAATTCCAGTTTCCCTATCCTAGCTACTTTATTAAAAGCCAAACCGATCTGATTCTTTTTTGTCCTTTCAGTGGAAGCTCTTACTGAAGGCACCAAAGCCATCCAATGGGCAGTTTGCCAATTCTCACTTTTTCTCAGCAAAGGGAAACAGTGTTGACAACTCCTCATTTGCAACTTTACTTCCCTGGGAAGTCTAGAGTTTCACCGCACCTCACTGGCCACCCCCTTTCAGTCTCCTCCTCCTTAACCACTTTTTAACTGCTAGGTCATCAAAGCTTAGATGTAATCCCTTTTCACTCTCCCTAGGCAATCTTACCAATACCCACTTCCTCAGTTACCACTGGCATACTCGTGTTCCTCAAATTTCTGTCTAGTGCTGGACACTTGTGCCCAACTGCCTATTCAGCATCACCTCGTCAAAAAGGTATGCCAAACTATGGTCTTGGCTCCTTTAAAGAGCCACAGATTTGGGAATCATTCCTTAAAAAATTAACTTTAATTATATCTCATTTATTTTGTGTGTGGGTGGTTGCCTGCATGCCACAGTGTGAGTGTAAATGTCAGAGGACAACTTGCAGGAATTGGTTTTCTCCTTCCATGATGTGGGTTTCAGGGATTGAACTCAGGTTGTCAGGCTCCGCCAGGCACTTTACCCACTGAACCCCCTCGCTGGCCCTTGGGAATCATTCTTAATGCCCCTCCTGTGTTCTTATGATTAGTGAAGCACTCTTCTGAATACAAATCTGACCACTATCACATAACTGTACCTCCCCTGAATATAGAATAAAATCCGAACGCCTGCTCTGTGAAGCTCTGCAGTCTGGCTCCTGTCTCTCCTGTCTCCAAGCTCCACCCACACCACTTTCCACCCAGTTTCTTAACTGTGCTATACTCCTTCTCAGCTTAGGGTCTGAAAAAAAACACAGCAAAGGTTAGCCAGAGTAAGGGCTATAAGTAATATCACGTCAATATTGACTTGCACTTAACTCCACTAATGTATGAATGAGTGAATAACCCTTTAACCTTCAATAGGTCATTTCCACTTTTCAGAAAGGATCTAATCTAAATATGTATCCACCTAGATGAACTCCAGCAATGAGCACAATCCTATGGTGTTTGTCTTTATTTTCTCCCTCTTTTCTTTTAAATCCTTAAACATTTCTATTTGAGAGCAATTCATAGGGGGGAAGGTACAGAGCACTCAAGGTAAGTGACTAGAAGCAGAGTGCTCTTCAATAAGTCCTCTAGAATAACTGACTCAAAGCAAATCCTTGTACTTAAAGGCATCTTTCAGAATTACTTCTAGAGCTTCCAGTTCAAAAGACTTTAAAAGAAAGGCTCACCTAGGGGAGGGCTACTTTTCACAGCAAGGCATTCCTCATACACAGGTAAGAGGGTGAAAAGAAGTAATTGAGATTTATTGAAGAACCACCTGAGAAAAAGTTGCCTTTCAATTTTCTAACCCACTCAATTCAGGTGCATGTTAAGGGCAGAAATTGCCTCTGGAGGCTGAACAACCTGCCAGGGAAGAACTAAGGATCCCAAGTGCATGTTTGTGCATGGAGGAGGCTTCCTAGGGTGAGTCTCCAACAACACTAGCATTTCTAACAGGCTTGGATCACCTGCCCACTCCATAAAAGGCCTAAAAAAGGCTGCTAGTTGATACAGTCAATATAGCAAAAGCACAGTCCACACAATCACCCCTTTCATTAGGGAGTAGCATGAACAAAGCTCCTATATCAAACATTGGTCCTTCGTGCTTAAATGTCAGAACCAGACTCCTTAGCAAACCAGCAGTTCTTAACATGATGATCAAGATAAATAATCTATGTATGTACATGTAACAATAATAATTAAAAAAGAGGACACAAAATTGAGAGAGATTGGGGGGATATGGAAGAAGTTAGAGGGGGGAGAAGGAGAAATAATGAAAATACAGTACTAACATATGAAATTCCCCCAAAATAAAATTAAAAAATATGAAAAGATAAACAACATTCCTAGTCCTGAAAAAAGTAGATATGAAATCATCACTAAATGTTCTTAGGATTCCTGAAAATATTGCAAACATTAAAATAACAGCATGTTCAAAATATCAATCAGGGAATACAAGGTTTATAGATTTAAGCATTTAAAAAAGAGCTTAGTAAATACTAAAAAGTAATTTGTGGAAATTAAAGTTGCAATGGCCTGTCTATCAAAACCAGAAAATAAATTAAGGACATTTTCTAGGATGTAGAAGAAAAAAAAAATGTAGAAAACAAAAGCTGTGATGAAAAGATCTAGTATCCAAACAAGTGGAGGGAGAAGTGGAATGCATCCATGGGGTACACAAAAATGATCCACTGGGCTTGAGGAAAAGAGTACAAAGCTCAAAGCAGTTTGTGTGTATGGTTGTGGGGTCTGATTTTCAATAGAGTTTCTATTTTTATTGTGATTACTCAGATATATTATGAAATATATTATGATATATATACATATGAAATACTATATGTAGTTTTATGACCTGGCTTCCAACTGAGCTCACTATAAACATTTTCCCTTTCTTTACAACAGTTAATCATATAGCTTAGAGAAAATATTAACTAATCTTTTATATATAACGTCTTTCCAAGGAGACTTCTTATTTTTTACAATGAGTTGAGAAAAAGAGGGGAGTTCATGTCATATTTAGCTTCCTCCAGATACAGAAACCTGGCCTTCAATGATTTAGCTACAGCTTTGTTGTTTGTGTGTGTGTGTGTGTGTGTGTGTGTGTGTGTGTGTGTGTCTTTAACCCTTGCTGACCTGATACTTGCTATGTAGCCCAGGCTGGCCTTGAATTCCAAGCAAGGCTCTTGTCTCAGCCTTCTGTTCTGAAGCACTAAGAACACAGGTGTGCAATATTGTACTTGGTTTCAGGATTTTAGCTTTCCTTCCTTCCTTCCTTCCTTCCTTCCTTCCATCCTTCCTTCCTTCCTTCCTTCCTTCCTTCCTTCTCTCTCAAGAGATATTATCTCTCCCTCTCCCTCTCCCTCTCCCTCTCCCTCTCTCTCTCTCTCTCTCTCTCTCTCTCTTTCTTTCTTTCTTTCTGGTCTTTTTTGAGACAGGGTCTCCCTGTAGCCTTAGCTGGCCTGGAATTTGCTATGTAGGCCAGACTGGCTGGCCTTTAACTCACAAAGTTCTGCCTGCCTCTGCCTCCCAAGTGCTGGGATTAAAGGTGTGCATCACCACACCTGGCTGCTTTTAGCTTTTTAACTTGCATTTACCTATCAGTCAAGTAATTTTACATTTACGTATCAGTCAAGTAATTTTATTTTTCCCAGTGTGTCCATGTCATTTGTGGAAGCAGGGCATTAAAAAAAAAAAAAAAAAAAACCCTTTAAGGTAAGCACTTAATGTAAACAATTAGTGCACAAGTACATACATAAAAATGTAAGGTAAGTATGCACATAAACATATTGAGTGGTATGTACATATGTTAAAAAACAGATGAAGGGTACAGACTGTATTTTGGAAATCAAGGACATAAAGGATCAATCAAATACTGTTATAGTCATTTAAAAGGTGTCTATAGAAAGAATAGAACAGGTACAATCAAAGGAATAAAGTTATGAGAAGACAAAAATTCTCAAAGCTGAAGAAAGGGATCTTTTTAAAGAAAGTCTCACTGGGTGCTAACCCAGATGAGTAATGAAAAAGAAAACCCACAGGTGGACAAAGCCTCAAGAAACTTAAGACAAAGAACAAAGTCAAGATCCTAAAATCTTCTGTCAAGAGAAAACCAGACTTCTTTATTCAAAGAAAGCTAAAAATCAAATGACGCAGAGCAAATTTCCCCAAATCCTCTACTGCTCACCTACTGTATCTCTTTCCTATATAGAATTCTCTAATATGTATTTTTTTCATTACTTTTATACAAATATTTACTGTATTCCAAGGAGGCTGGTCACTGGTCTTTTTGTCCAGGGGGATGTATGTATGGGCATGTAACCCAGCATAGAACTGGGAAAATGAACAGCAGACCCCAATCTTATCTAAAGGACTATTGACAACTGATTGCTGTTAGATGAGGAACAGCTGATCTTCCTAAAACAAGGATTTCTAGGTAGGCTGACTAAATTCAGTGGATGGACGGGCATTGGGGAATGGCTGGGGGGCACCAACAACACAGTGGACAGTAACACGGATACCAGAGTATATGGGCTCCGGTGGGGGGGGTGTGTTGCTATGGGAGGGTGCCATTTGGGAAGTGGGTATATAGATGAGTAAGATTGTTTGGGATGTTCTATATGATACATACACACAAAAATCAACAAATTTAAAAAATGAGTTATATTTGAGGAAGCATAAAAATTTACTTCATGTTAATTAGAGGCGATAAACATTACCATTGAAATCTACCTGATGACTTTATATCCATACTTAGATGCCAAGGATCCCAGTGTAACTGTGACTGGTAATAATCAGATACATTGAGATTAGAGACGCATGTGCAAACATCAAAGTGTTAGTAGCATTAAAAATTAGTCTTTCTGGGGCTGGAGAGATGGCTCAGCGGTTAAGAGCACTGACCCCTTTTCCAGAGGACCCGAGTTCAATTCCCAGCACCCACATGGTGGCTACGAACTGCCCTTAACTCCAGTTCCAGGGGAATCTGAAGCCCTCTTCTGACCTCCTGGTGGCATTGCACGACACGGGTGCACTCACACACATGCAGGCAATACACTCATACATATAAAATAAAAATAAACATATTTTAAAAAATGAGTCTGTAGGAAACAGTATATTTTAAAATGAAATGGAGATCTTTTTTGAAAGGTTAAAAACTCATTCAATTTTATGTCTTACAGGGTTTAGGGAAATAGGCAGCAGCCCTTTCATCCAGAAGAGCCCAAGCAGCTGCAAGTGCAAAGTACATATGGCGTAGAGCCGGAAGAGTTAAACAAAATGCACAGATAGTGACACAGAGCCAGGCCAGAGAGGGAGAAAACAAAGCAGCAGCAACCAGAGACAGCGACAACAGCGAGATCACAAGGACAGGGACAACAATGATGGGCCAAGACGGAGAGACTCCAAAATCTTCAAGTTGGACAGGATCAGGGTCACCCGCCGGTTCGGGAGCCAGCTCCGCAGGTAACCCAGTCGGTGCTCCAGTCACTCCGGTGCTCAAGGATTTGCAGAGATTCTCCAAGAACCCTCGGTCTGGCCAGAGGGTCATCTGCACATTCAGGAAGTGATGGACAATCCGCTCTCCAGAACTAGAAATAACCCGGCCAGGTCGCAGGCCGCACTTACCAGGCCACGGCGGCCCGCCGTACTCGCCACATCCCGCCAGCTCAGAGGACCCACAAGCGCCGAGCCGGCCACGTGGGAGCCCCGTGTGGGCCCCAGTCCGGCTCCTGCTCCAGCAATGACCCAGGAAGAGGCCCTCAGCAACAAGGGCACAGAGCAGCCGCCGGGTCCTCCCAATGGCGCATGGAGTTCCGCAAGAGCCGCGGGGCACCCGTAGTCAGTCCGTCACTGAAATAAGCACCCGGGAACACTAGGGAGGTGGCGCAAACGGGCCCCAGGACTCGCGCATGCGCCCCGAGCCTCTGAAAGGGCCAAGAATATTCCAACTCCCTCTGCCCCGCCCCAACCCGCCCCCCAAAGTTTCCGGGCTGGAATTCTGAATACGAACTTCCCTGGTTAAGGTTAAGTGAAAGAGGTCAAGAGTTGGGCAGAGTGGAGGGAATGAAATCTACAGTAACGAATTGCTTAGGGGTAGCAGCCAATTTAATAAGATCTGTTTAAAGCACTTTCGTATCTTTGGAACTATGTTGAGAGGCAGGAGGTGCATAGCTTAAGTATCATAAAATGTCTGAGATCAAATCTGAAAGGGACTTCAGACGTTTAAGGCAGCTACAGGTTTGGAATAAGCACATGCAGTTTATGAAGGAACAAATGATTTTATTCATTCCATCTTTGACTGGCTTTCTTATGAATTAAAAAAAAAAACGAATTTATGCGTGTGACTTTTGCTTGCGTGTTTGTAGGTGCACCCGTGTCATGCGATGCCCACTGAGGCCAGAAGAGGGCGTTGGGTCCCCTGGAAATGGAGTTACAAACGGTTGTTAGAAAGTCCCAGCCCAGTCTTGGACATCTAGTATATATTCTCTTCTGTATCTGCGTTTTTCTCTCTACTGATTCAAATTAGTTGTAATACTCTAATGGAGGGAATGAAATCTACAGTAACGAATTGCTTAGGGGCAGCAGCCAATTTAATAAGATCTGTTTAAAGCACTTTCGTATCTTTGGAACTATGTTGAGAGGCAGGAGGTGCATAGCTTAAGTATCATAAAATGTCTGAGATCAAATCTGAAAGGGACTTCAGACGTTTAAGGCAGCTACAGGTTTGGAATAAGCACATGCAGTTTATGAAGGAACAAATGATTTTATTCATTCCATCTTTGACTGGCTTTCTTATGAATTAAAAAAAAACGAATTTATGCGTGTGACTTTTGCTTGCGTGTTTGTAGGTGCACCCGTGTCATGCGATGCCCACTGAGGCCAGAAGAGGGCGTTGGGTCCCCTGGAAATGGAGTTACAAACGGTTGTTAGAAAGTCCCAGCCCAGTCTTGGACATCTAGTATATATTCTCTTCTGTATCTGCGTTTTTCTCTCTACTGATTCAAATTAGTTGTAATACTCTAAATACCTCTGCATTTTCAACTCAACAATTGTTTAAAGGAATCTGGAGCTCATAAAAGGATTGTGGCCTGTGAAAAGTTATGACACCTATAGTGGCATTAGTGGTAACTAAAATCAAAGGTTCTTGTGCCCCATCTCACTTATCTCACTTCAGAGACAAATCCCTTTCCCCTATCACATACACACAAAATAAATGAACAAAACTCATTTCCCTTACTTGTCAGAATCATAAATCTGGGTGTATCTACTTACAATACCACTAAGTATAAACCCAGTTGCTTGATAGTAAACTTTCCTATTGCAGGACCCTGGGAATTTATTTATTGTGATGACTGTTTCAAGGACAATTCCAAACAGGAACCTGCTATACTAACCAGTACAATCTGTAGCTCTTTCTAGAACTGTAGGGCTGTACAAAAATGGATTTGTTACTGTTACTTTGTAATTGTTTTAGGTAAAAACAAAAAAGAGAAACCAAATAACATTCCCTTTCATGTGTGGGTTTTCTTCACATTTTCAAAGTCCTTTTTTGCAATTCCTCTTCTAGTCTGGGACAATCGAATTAGTTCCACATGTGGTTTATGCATACTATTATATGAGATAGCAAAATATTGGAATCAGCATAACTGTCCATAGATAGGAGCTAGTTAAGTGAATTATATTCATACTAGTCACAAAAGCCTGTGAGTTAGCCCTTTATATCCTTAATAGGGAATAATCTCTGAAACAGATTGTCCCTAATTTGTAATGGCTTTATTATTATTATTTGTTGACTTCACAATGGTGCCAAAGGTGTGAATTTAGTGGAATCCATGCTTCAAGTACTTAATATGAGTAGCCCATTTTACACTTTCTGTGTAGTATTCTGTATTGTACACTATGCAGATTAGGCTTTGTGTTAGGTGCTTTTGCTAGCTCTAGGCTAATGTTCATGTTCAGAGCATATTTAAGGTAGGCTAGGTTATGATAAGAAGGTAGGTAGGCTATGCGTAGCAAGTGCATTTTCACTGGATATTTTCAAATTAGGTTGAGTTTACAGGATATAACCCCATTATAAGTTGAGGTACATCTGTCTATGGTAGTGTAGGAAAATAGGCAAACTATTATAGAATCAAACTGCCACCATTGGTCCAAATTCAGGCCACGGATTTGTTTGGCTACTTAGTGTAAAATAATTTTGGACTAGTTGCTGCTATTTTATAACAAATTTTACATTAAAACACCCTTGTTTTGTCTAGTAACTCTTAGAATATCAGACAACAGTAAGCTCTATGCTGATAAAAATTTCCTGTAACAAGGAGTCAAGTAGTGTTTCCTATTCCTTTCTGAAGTCAAACACCAACTGCTGTGATTGTGGTTTTGTTTTTTCTAGGAAAACCAAAGGGAAAGGAAACCACTATTTCTATCAAAAGCAATTAATGGATATACTTAGAGGGTCAGCTGTTTCTAAAGCAATGAGAACTTTCCCCCAGATGAATATAAGATGCAAGTAAATCATGTGATATTGAAAGAATATATTTTACTATGATATTAAACAATAAATATTTCTGTGTTATTCATGTTACATACCTGATCCAGGAAAATAATTTAATAGCCTGAGTGACGAAAGGACAAAGTGGATCCTTAGTGAGAGGGAGAATTATTTTTATCTTTGGTAACTCATATATTATTTAATATATACAAAGACATCAAATGTATCTTCTGACCTCTGAATCATGAAGTAATTTTACTATCTTAAGCTAAATTATTAGGTTCAGTTGGGAATTGAGAAACTCAGTTAAAACTCTCAAAACATTTATCTTGTCGTGCAAAACAACACTGTTCAGTTATCCAATGAATTAGGAATATTTAGAAAAGGAGTAAGGAAATGCTATTGGAAACTGAAATATTTGCATTTGTTCATGGAATGTGCATTTAAAGTTTTACAAATCCATTTTTAAAGATTCTTCTTTGACGTTGTGGTTGTTTGAATGAGAATATCCCCCATAGGCTCAAATATTTAAACATTCGATTCCCCTCTTTGAGGATATCATGGAATCTCTAGTAGGTATAGTGTTGCTGGAGGAAGTATACCACAAGAGCTCATAGCCTTGCCTACTTCCAGTTCATGCTCTCTCTGCTTGAGTTTGCCTCTGAAGATGTGAGCTCTCAGCTTCCAGTCCCTGCCTCTGTGACTGCTGCTAGCTGCCAAGCCTCCCTACCACGATGGACTCTTATTCCTCTGGAACCATAGCCCAAATAAACTCTTCCTTCTATAAATTGCCTTGGTCATAGTGTTTTATCACAGCAACAGAAAAGTAACTAACACAGAAGGTATCTAAGGTCCCTGACTTTGTATTCTTCCTCTGTGGTTTCCTGGAGACAGAAGCAGCTGGAGTTACACATATTCGCACCATCATCATCAAATTCTCCGCAGTGCTCAGAAAAGTATGTTCCAATCATAATCAGCAAATATTTATAAGCCACCTCCCGTGAACACCAGAGATTTGATAAGACTCAAAATTGTTAGGATACCATCTTTTCTCAACTTAGTCTCTCTATTAAAAATTATTCTATTTTAACTTATGTGTATGTATATGTGTTTGTGCCTGTGTGAATGTATGCCAAATGTGTGCAGGTACCTGAGGAGACCAGAAGAGGGTGCCAGATCTCCTGGAACTGGAGTTACAGTCAGTAGTGAGCCATGTAACATGGGTACTGAGAATGCACTCAGGTTCTCTGAAAGGGTATTAAGTATTCTTAACCATAGAGCCACCTTCTCAGCCCCCATCTATATGTTATAAACACTGTAGGCACTTACTATAGAAATTGACAAACTATTCTAAAAAACTTATTTGGGAATATAAGCACCAAAAATGTTAAAATATCCTAAACTGGAGCATTAACAACTACACAACCTCAAAACTTACTATAAAACAACCATGATTGAAACAGTGTGGTAGGTATAAGAATAAATACAGGACTCAGAAATAGATTTAAATTTATGCAGGGTGGTAGCTAATTCTATCAACTTTATTAGTTTGAGAAGTGCCTAGGAGATAGGACAGCACACCTCTAAGGATGTCTGTGAGTTTCTAGAGAAATTGTCTCATGAGGACTCTGATACAATGAGTATTTTAACTCTTTGATGGATTCAAAATTAGAATGGACTCATGGGAGATGGTGGAGCTGTGGAAGATGGGGCCTGGTTGGAAGGTGTGGAGTCACAGGGATTGTGTCATTGCTGCAGCCCCTTCCTCTTACTGTTCCACTCTGCCTCCTCATCACCTGCCACTATGCTGTTTTGTCTGAGACCATAGAAATCCTGAGGTAAAATAAGTCTCAGATATTTTGGTCACAGCTAAAAGTAACATGCAGTTAACTGATTTATGACAAAAAATACATGAAGTTAACTGATTTATGTCAAAAAATACATGCAGTTAACTGATTTATGACAAAAAGCACCAAAACAATTTGATGGAGAAACAAGGGCTTTTTTCTGAATGGTGCTAGAACAACTGAAGACCTATATGGAAAAAATATAACACACACACAGACACACACACACACACACACACACACACACACACACTGCATGCAATATCTAACATTCATTTATACCATGTACAAAAATTGGCAGGTATAGACAAAAATTGTATTAGCTGGGACATAAGGAGTAAAAGTAAGAACTATAAAGTTTATTAAATAAAATATATCATTTGCCTGGAAGTAGGCAAAAATTCCTTAAGCCATGGAAAGGAATATGATAAAATTTTAAAAATTCATTATTCAGACTTCATCCAACTAAAATTATGAAATAACACACAGAGAAAATGAATAAGGAAACCTCAAATGAGAAGAAAGT